GGGTAACAGCTTTTACAGTTTGGTCGTAGATAGGATATTGATGGGCCCCATGATACCTCATCAAAACCGCAGATGTGCAAAAAGACTGATAGCGAAAGCGCGTGTAACGAGAGTCATCTGTTTACTACTTGGCCACCGTATTCTAAAGCTCTTCTGGAATAGGTAATAAGAGAATAAACGAACATGTCACTGATGTAATTTACTCTGAAGTTTGGTGAAGTATTTTATACAGAGTTCACTATGAGGAAAAACTGCTAATTTGTAAGGATACCTACATATGTCACAGAACCTATTATAAGCCTCTTGTATTATTTTTTTTGTTTGTTTTTCTGTGGCTACTTTTTGAATGAGACTAGATATCGCAGCTTCAATTATGTTGTTACTGAAAAGTGTAACATGTATTTTTTTAAAGTTTGCTTCGTATTTACAAACGCACAAGTTTTCATGATCTTCTTCAGAATTGTATGTTGAAAGGGTAATGCTTGTGGTCCTTCGTTCTGGAAAAAAGTAAAACGTAACAAATTAATATTAACATTGAAATCAACGTTTAAAATTTTCTATTGCCACGTGTAGAAATAAACCTAAGTATGAGGGCCTACTTTTATCGAAAACATAAAAGTATTATCTAAAAGCGTCAGTCTAAAAAACAAATATTAAAATCAAAAAAGATACGTGTTTTGTTAATACAGATTGTGTAAAAACAGCTTGGAATTTGTTAAACAAATTGCAATAGAGACGCCCCCGTATTTGCAAGTAACTTACTGAGTACTGTATGTAATTAAAGTAATAACATTCTTGAACGTACTGTATGAAGTCGCATATTCTCTTGTTCCTGTTCAAAGCATCCATTGCAGCTACGTCTTCGGGCACTAGCTCGAAGTTAAAGATGTCGATATTTTCTTGAAGGCGGTTCTTGTTAGAAGATTTAGGAATTGGTACAATTCCATGTTGAATCTAAAATTCATTGAAAATTATATTGAACGATGTCGTTGTTGTTCATCTGGGTTGTGACGACGTGTGGTCTTGTTGGTAGATACCAGCATTTTGGGGGGAAATACTGGGTTCTCTCACACCATCGTGAGAGTCTAAGTTCATATACTGAACAAAATGAACATGTTCCTCAAAACGACGATGGTATTTTCAGTAGATTTACTCTCAAAACATTTGGTGAGCGTTGGGTTGCTTCTTGTTTTATTTTAAAAGAAGTGTTAAAATTATAGTAATTTTCTTCAGTAGGCCTACTTAAGAAACCATATGTATTAATGAAATTCACAGTATGAAATTTAAAGGGATGATTAGATAATTTGCTAGCAGATCGGAGAGTGGTGTTTCCACAGGGAGGGCGGACGGTAGAGTAGTCATAGGGTAGAACTGAGATAAAACGGTAGACAGAACGACTGATGTAAAACATAATTTGAAAGCCAACTTTTTGGGACCATGGCGCAGTCCAGAACGTGATTTCAGCAATAGGATAACACGTGATACCACAATACAACACAATTATCTGTGGTGTAAATATATTAAATCAAATTCCATATAAATGCTGTATCAGAGGTTTATTTTTTGGGGCGAGGTTTAAAATGAACAAACTGAAACGAAATATTGTAAGTATATTGAAATTTAAGAAATCAACTTTTCTCCTGGTAGACTCCTTTCGTCTCATCAATAAATCCAGGCCTTAAAATAGTTTTACAACTTATTTACTGTATTTCATATTGGGTTGAACGAGATGATATATTTTCCTGTGTTTCTTCTGTCAGAAATAACAACCATTAATGCCTTCATCAGGCATAAGACGTCAAAAAGAACTGTTTTAGCATTAATACTGATGTGAGGGCCAGTAACGTTTACGGAAGGGCAGTGCTCACCAGATATCTGAGGATGATCTGTGCTGTGGTCTTGCCGTACTTGTCCGCCACTTCCTTTATTTTGGGGTCCTTAAGTGGTTCAGGGGATTCGCCCTTATGCAGTGGCGCGATACTTGTAGGTCCCCCGAAAGGGCTGTATCCTGTGACCACTATCCCCTTTTCTTTGCAGAACTTAATCAACTTGGTCTGGTTCAAGTAGGGGTGACATTCAATCTAAAACAAAGCCGTTTTTAATCCATATTCATGAATAGAAATATATCGAATATGTTCATTAGTGGTCAGGCACGTTTACAGATAATTAGACCCATACCTGGTTGACGACCGGTTTGATGGTGGCAACGTCTAGTACTCGCTGTATCTGCTTGCTGTTGAAGTTGGACAAGCCGATGCTTTTTGTGAGACGTAATCTCACGCAGTCCTCCATTGTTTTCCATGTGTCTACGTAATCCACGTCACTGTAGATCAGTTTGTGAGCTGCATCCTCAGGAAGCCCGTTATCACCTTCCTGCATGTCAGATGCATATAATCTTATTTACGAACTCTGTCTTACGCGTACTACTATAAACTCAGTGTATCTGAGAGCAGGGTACTGAGGAGAGAGGTAGGAAGCAACACGAGGTGGCAGAAAATTTCACGGCGAGGAACTTAATGATAATTTGTACTTCTCGCTAAATATTATTCGGATGTTCATATATTTACTGCGAGATGAGAGCGGATATAGTACGCATGAGAAAGACAAAATTCATACAAAATTCTACTCCAGAATGTGAGGGAACGAGACAACTCGGGTGACTTAGAAGTAGATGAGGAGATAATATTAAAGAGAACGCTTCTTACTGATGTAATAGTGAATCAGCTATCTACGGATTACCTTCCGTCTGTCTGCACAGTCGAAAAGCGTTAGGCCTAGTAAATAAACCGTGAAAATATCCATCTATGAATGCATACGTAGCCACAAGCCATGCGTTTCCACACACACGCGTACATAAATAAATAGCCATGTGTATGTACGAGAATGTTTCGTTAACAGACGTGAGATGCCCGAATTCTGATACACATTGTCGTATTTGGCACAGTTGGTGTTCTTATTGCACGGAATTACATATCATCTGGGGACGAGACCGCTGGACCAGAGATTCTCATGTTTTGTCTGAAAGGACCTTGATAGTACGTGGTTCAGAGCACTAACTGGTGGAAAGAGCATTGTTGAGACTGGTAGAATTCCAATAAATTAACACACATGATCGAGTGTACAGTTAGAAATGACACACTTACATTTAAAACTTACCTTGAAACCGAACGGCCAGTGAATGAGATAGAGGTCAACGTATTCGAGTCCTAGATTTTCCAGAGATGTCTTTAGGGTAGGCACGACGACATCTGGTCTATGGTGTGTGTTCCATAGCTGAAAGTGACGGTATCTTACGCCATAATCAGTGTTTTATAATAGTAACTTTTATGCCAAAGAAAATTATAATTACAGCCCTTTTGTAAATAAAAATAATTATAAATGCAATTTCAGTGGAAACGACAATACGAAGAACAGGTGGGAATTTATACATCTGACGGTTAAAACAGTATTTTAAAAAGTTCATAGTTCCATTTTCTCAAGCATTTTCTTTGCTTAAAGCAAGAGACAGAATATATTGTTTTTTTATCAGAAGACATATCATTAAGTTTTGGGTTTCATGTCTTGTAACAACATAATCCTCTCACTCCCACAAAATTCATGACCTAGTAGACTTAACTTACCTTCGTAGTGACGAAGACTTGGTTTCTTGTTATGGTTCCGTCTGCAATCTTAGCTCTGATGGCTGCACCAACCTCCTTCTCGTTTCTATAGAACAGAGCGGTGTCGAAATGTCTGTACCCTGCGTCTATGGCGTCTTTAACTACCTGCTTCATCTCTCCGGGCTCGGCCTGACGGTACAAAATTTACACATTATACAGTGACGCATTACGTTAAGCGCATGTGTGTATTTGAAAATGTTACATTTACAGTGTATTTTGTTATAGGAGTTTCTTATTGCATGTCGATCTTAATCCGGTAGTTATTTTCTAATTCCATGTCAATTTTGACAGTTTCTTTGTGCGCAGGGTACCGAGACATTTATTTTAATGCGCTTATACTTTTATATATAACATTCATAAAGAGGCTTCGTTAGGCTGTGCCTAGTGGGATACATGTTAATTCTTTGAAGCACAGTGGTAACCTAACATTCGTTAAATCTGCATTTTGTTCCCTGGGTTTATTTACAGAAAACTGCGATTATGTTCCTAAACAGCATTAACTAATTGAGCTTTAAGGTGTTTTCTTTGAGGTGGAATTTAGTTAGAAATTATTATTTAGATAAACTTCGTGCCTTGAAGGGAGTCGCTTTAAAATGAAGGAATTCCAATAGAGCCCTAATTTTTTTTAACGATTTTAACTATGTTAGTAGAATCTAAATGTTTAACCCTCTGAAACAGTGACCTTTCATTCCACATATTCTGAGCCAGTTCTACCCAACTCCTCTCTTCATAAGCTGCTTATATAAGATCCACTCACTAATACCCCCATCTTCTTTCCGCACTTCCAAGTTGCCATTTTCGAAGCAGTTTCGCCACGAATACGTAGTATCTGCATGCCCAGCCCATCATAGCCTCCTGCTTATTCCAACTTCGTTATTTCGTAATCAATGACTGTGATAATAAATCCGTCCATTTATGACGCCTTTGTAAAATTTCGTAACGTAGAACATTTTTCTGCGAAATATTTCTAGATCTGCGCTCATTATCCAAATTGGACGACCATCCATGTCAGCTGTCCCCGACTGTAAACTTTGTATTTTCACACCTGATCTCCGTGTCCGGAGATATCTCTTTTATCCACATCTTGAGGACTCACATTCTTGTCGTGATATGGGGCACACTTAACATGGAATTGACTGTTTAAATTGTTTTTAATCCAGAATTTTAATTACATTGCGGGTTAGAACAAAACGTATTGATTTGTGCAACAAAGGTATGTTGCACGTAGAACGGGTCTGCTCACTCACTTGCTCGCCATCTGACCACCCATATATTGACATTATAATTATAATGGCATGTTTGATCGAGTCATAAGTTTTAATTCGAATGCACAAATTATGTAAAACTAATTAACGAATATCTTGATAAGTCGCAATTCTGAGTTACATAAAACCTGTTTCATACTCTCTAGATGCTTGCTGTGATCATACATTAAACTATTCTACGACTATGCCTTCAGTACTTATAATTTTATTAAAGGTGAAAGCGTGGCACAAAGCGATGAAAGCAGTATTAATGATATTCATAACTATTATTAACTATTTAGTTTTTGTGTTAAAGTTAACCAAACTTTAAATACATACTGTGTATGTGCCCAAGCCTAATACTGGAAAGTCTTGATTATTGTTTAACTTCACCGTTGGAACCATGGCTGCAGCCTTCTGTAGTCGGAGCTATTATTCTAATTACTGATAGTTAATTCGAAGTGTGTGAATAATATATATCAGACAGTGACAGTGCAAGAGATGGCAGTTTATCTGAACATTTATCTGAATGCTTTGTCATTGTCACTGTTGAGCAATATCGCAGAAAGAGCATAACCATGCGTTTAATATGAGCGTGCATGTCCATATCAACTAACGAATACGTCGATTAGATAAAAACGGTTTTAAGCAAGTAATTCGTAGGAGGACATCTGTTCTTCGGCACGAGATAAGATACGCGAAGTTGTCCAGTCTCTGTCATATGTGACATTTATCATGTCAGGGAGGGAGACTTCATAGTGCTACAGATCTCGCAAAAAAAAACTGGCCAGCTTTTGATTGCAGACCAACGCTGTTTCGATGAACTTATTCTACCCGAGACATGTATACACTGAAGGAGAAAGTTGTCCAGTCATGTAATAATCTGTGTCTGTAACGGGACCAACGTCAGTGCCTTTCCTTCTCACCCATGCCACTTAATGGCAACTTTGCCAAGAACATATTGTTATGTTGCTTCGGTCGCAAATGACGAACAACACAGTTTGGATCGACTTCATTGGTTTACATGTAGTTTACGCGCATTACTTTTCATTTATTAAACAACGTTATTATTGTTGACCATAATTGACTTATGATAGACTTCCTCAAGATTTCCACTTTAAAAGACTTTACCAAAATAACCTCAGCTCCCATCTCCTACCCGTAACTATTGTCGTCCACGGTGCATTTCATGACCTATACTTTGTTCAATTTAAATGCGTTTCAGGCTGAGGTAGGGCACATCCATGTAAGTTTTGTTTGTGTTACTGCTCCTGTGTACGTCAGGTGTGGACTGGATTCATCTGGTTCAGGATAGGGACTGGTGGCAGGCTCTTGTTAACACTGTAATGAACCTTTGGGTTTCATGAAAGGCGGGAAATTTCTTGACTGGCTGAGCGTGTTATTAGCTTCTCAAGAACACTGTTCCATGGGTATAACATGCAGTTGTGCTAATTATAGTTAACACTACCGATAGTCCATGACTATTTTCTACTTTCGCCGATACTTCTAGGACTTTCTTCTGCTTTCGCCGATACTTCTAGGACTTTTTATGCTTTCGCCGATAATTCTAGGACTTTTTCCGCTTCCACCGGAACAACTTTTATTGCTGATACTGATAATACTGAATCCCAACTAAGGAGAATGGTTATGTGGCGAGAAACAGAACTAGTGGCTTCGCCATCCTATTTACTAGCCAGGAATCAGCGCTCTCATGTGGATAAAACTGTCCCCTGTTAGGATATATAGCCTGCTACTTCTGCTGCCATATTGCTCGCCATGGCGTATATGTTAACACTTCAGCCTCGTAATCGAGAGGTCCTAGTTTCAGATCTCGGCTCTGAGACCCGCTATCCATGGTAGAGGCTTTTCATGGTTTCCCTCAGTCCCTCCAGACAAATGCTGTGGCCGTAATGGTACCTCTGATTAGATCATGACCACTTCCTCCCAAAGCGTTTCAAAGTCATTCATTGATCATTTCATGATTCGACACAATATAAGTTATCTTAATTTCTCCTTCCCAAACCATTTGCGTCTTATCGGGAAGAAGGTTAAACGGCACGGATAAATGATGGCGACTGTTAGAATATAGTATGCGGTCGTCATGGCCGTGGAACGACTAGAATGCGTAACTGAGCAAGCTTAATACATATATAAATTCTGAGCTTTACAAGCCAGGAGATGGATCTTAAAACAGTACATACGCTATAAGTTATTTATAAAATGCACCTTGAATGCATAAGGCCAGTGAATGAGGTGCAGGTTGAGGTAATCGAGTCCGAGGTCAGAGAGGGTCCTGTTGAAAGTTGGCACCACCAAATGAGGAGAATGGTTGGTTTGTGTTCAACTGTGTGTTTTCAACTCTTAGGTTCTGAACTTACTTACGTATCTAATTATAGGTTTCATGGAGTTTTTTTGTGTTTACTGCACTGTGAACTTGAACTGGGGTGAAACTGTCAAACAGTGAGCAGAAAAGGGTGCATGTAAGGTTACTGTGGTGGAGTACACGAATTTTCAAAGCACTGTCGGTGTTATTTTGCTTGTCTTAGTAGGATGTGAAGTTTTCACAATTGTGAGTTTAAATTATGGTCTTCTGGGTTCTTGCGTAAAGCAGTATCAGAGTTGTGTACTAACATTTAGGAGGAACATGACGCCTTCATTTTGAGGTTTAAAGCAAGTTCAACCCAGACGATGGAGAAAACACGTTCCTCTGAAACCTTATTATCCAACCACAGGACTAGAAGTCGCAGCAGTCCAGAAGACCACAAAAAACAGAAAAATAAACGATTAATTTGTGTAGACTTAATAACTCATGGAGCTAATTAACACAAGTTCCTTGTTTATAGATTTAAAGCTACATTTGACTTAAACCCTTGTTTTACAAGTTTAATCATGACACCATTATCATTTTGAAATAAAATTTATCTTTAGAATTCAGTGTTGAAGGGGTAATCCTTTAAATCCGCAAACCTGAAACAAAAACAGAGCTGTAATTAACGAACTAACTGCACAGAGCACAGCTTGCTTGATTTTAAATAATAATTTGAACGGTATATTTCAAAATAACTGTCATACGTACAGAGAGTATGTGAATATTCTACTGTCGCTGTTGAGTGCGTCTATAGAACTGATCTCAACAGGCGTCAGTTCGAAGTTAAAGACGTCAAAATTTTCTTGTAGGCGGCTTTTATTTGATGACTTTGGAATTGGTACAACGCCATGTTGTATCTGTAATTGTTAAATGTTACAGTTCATTAGACGAAAATGAATATGTAGTAAACACTATAAACACGTGTTTAAAATCACTTGGGGACTTGGTTGGGGATAGGATAGTGTTGAAATGCTTGGTATGTTTGTTTGTGGTGAAATTTGAGGTCCTCAAGGCTACGAATTTGAAGCTGGTTGTCTTCTACGATGTTAAGCCCTGATGATGGAGGCAGTAAGTATCTCCGAAAATTTGATTACTTTCTACCATTTTACAATGCGCAACAAGCCAGAGACAGCCATATTCAAGTTAGTCCTTATCTAGTAGAAGGAAATGTGCGAATTTGTCTTGCGGGACTGAAAACGAATCAAAAACACCAGAGTCGGAATAGCCGGTCTCCGGGCAGAGATTGGAACCCAGGACCTCCCGAACACGAAACAGTAGGCCCTGCTGAAAATTACAGGTTGAGAGAAATTAAAAGTGGGAACATTCAAGAAACCTTTGCCTGCATTGCTTTGTTTACCGCAAATCCTAGAGAGTGGCTCACCAGATACCGCAGTATAACCTGTGCTACAGTCTTGTCGCGTTTGGTAGCGATTTCTTGCAGCTTTGTGTCTTGCAGCAGCGGGGCGACGTCGTGCCTAATGTAATTCACTGTACTTCCTGGCCTTCCAAATGGAGCATAAGCAGTCACCACTATCCCCCTCTCCTTGCAAAAGGCAATCATTTTGGACTGGTTAAAGTACGGATGGCACTCAACCTGAAACATATTAAAAGGTTCTCAGCTCACACCTGTCGTGGATAACACGTTAAGATAGGCCAAGACCACTTCCTTTGTAATTTAACTGTCGCAATTATACTACCATTCGATTTTACATGACAGTTGAAAATCTTCATTAAATATCCAAAGAATTAAACAGACTTGGTGACTTGCTTCGTACAGAAATGCCCTGAAGGCGAGAAGCGTGTACGGGCGTGGAGAGAGAGAATGCGAACGGACTCATGACAGATAAGGTTTTCACAGCGGTGAGTATGAAGATTTCTGTCTTCTGGGTCGTTGCGCTGTGTTGTCTCGTCGATGTTTACCAACGTTTTAGAGGTCATACTGCCTCCGTCATCAGGGCCTCTGAAACGTTGGTAAACATCGACAAGACTACACAGCGCAACAACTCAGAAGACAGAAATCTTCATGACAGAAGAGTTGCTCCTTTTTATAACACAAGTATAATAGCTCCAGACACTCGTAATATCATCGTGCATACCTGGTTGACAACAGGTTTGATAGTAGCGACGTCTAACACACGCTGAATCTGCTGACTGTTGAAGTTAGATAAGCCGATGCTCTTAGCAAGACCCAGCTTCACGCACTCTTCCATCGCCTTCCACGTGTCCACATAGTCCACATCGCTGGGTATGAGTTTTCCCGTCTCGTCTGTCGGAAACAGAGTATCTCCTTCCTAAAATATAGGCATGAAATGTAGTGAGGCAGTGTGTGCTGGATCTTGAATCATTGGAGCAGCTTTAATGTTGAACGTATTATTGACAGGGCTTCGAGTTCAATGTAAACTGTTACCAGCAATCTCTAAAATAAGATTGAAGACAAATCTATCAGTAAGACAACCAAAAATATAGAGATTATTGTAGACCGAACCCGAGTCCTTAATGAAAAACATCGATCATTTAGTTAAGAAATTCCCCTTTTTATGGAATCACAAGTTCATTACCACGTTCAACATGAGCCCGACACTGGCCTCTATCCTGAGCGAGATAAATCCAGGCCACACCCTCACACCGTGTCTCTTAAAATCCATTTTTAATTATATCTTCCCGTATACGCCAGAACCGTGTCCCGTAAATGTAATTTTAGTCGAGCTAATCACCTTAAGAATATTCATTGCAGCTACATTTTATAAAGATATTGAAATGGTGGCGTAAATTTGGTAGTCAATTAAAACAATGTCAGGGGTATTTAGGCTTTCGTATTTTATCAATAGGATATTACAGGATTTTACAGAAAAATGCCACTGTAACCATTACGGTCGTTTCTTATTTCGAACATCAAATAATATGTGTTAGTCATTTCAGCATATGTGCATTCTAATATGAATAATCAAGGGAAACCAATCTTAGAATATATGATATCGATAACAGTAAATTTAAAAATAGACTTTTTATTTATTTTTTGCTACATATCTCATAATGTTTTGTAATAATAATAATAATTATTTATGCACTCGAGTTATTATTTATCTTTAGGCCGAGGATTAAAGTACTCACCTTAAGTGCAATTGGGTTATGCATTAGGTAGAGATCTAGATAATCTAGACCCATTGTTTCGAGAGTTTTCTTGCAAGTTGGTACCACTAGATCCGGCCTGTGATACGTGTTCCAAAGCTGTAAATACATTACTATATTTTCACTCATTTAGAAACAAAAAGTTGAAAATGAAAATTCAAAAGGTTGTAAAACTACAAATATTAAGGTCGCTTAAGGAAATATTATGAGTAATAAGATATGCTCACTGTTTGTAACTGTAACTGAAGAATGTAAAAGTGCATGGTATCTCTGGATGAAGACGAACTGGAGTACATGGAACTTGCACAGGCGTTATTTTGCTATTTTCCTTCTAAAGCGTGTTCCAGAAACTTTAATACATTTCAATGAAATTTCGAACACAATATAAAATAGTAGGCTATGTGTAATTTATTCTGTGTCTGAACTGTTTAAAGTGGCACCGAATGATAAAGTAATAGCATGTTTCAACAAAAGTGTACAAAGTTTTATCCTCAAAATAAAATAGTCTGAACGTTATTTATTGGACAAATTCGGCAAAAAATATAGCCAAAATAAGCAATGAAGCAACAAAGCTGAATGAATTTATGTAATATAATGTCTGCTAAAGAAAGATGAAAGGAAATGCATCTTATGTATTTTATTTAAAACTGTGCTTGTTACAGACAATGCCTGCTGACAAAATGGAACACATGACCGTGTAGTTTATTCTGATAACGAAATGCGGATAGATGTTTACCCGGCGAGTTACGACATACATGGACTTTGTCATATAACATTCACATAAACTCATAAACAGTTATAACATTTGGTTGATTCCAAAACTAATGCTGTAATTCACTCTTAAATAAGCTATTGGAAGCACAAATTTTTTTAAGTGCACTGGATTTTAGGCGCGTTCGCAATTAAAAGTTGCAAAAAATTGCTTATTAATCTCACCGTATATCCGACAGTCCACATTAACAACCTTGGTACATAAATTTCGATGCTACTTTGGTAATTTGCGGAAACCAGAGCCAGCAGCATAACCTCGTATGAAAATCCTTTGTGATGACGTCATTACACAGTCCGCCGGGCTGCACGAAAATCACCCCACGCAAGGGTCTTAGAACCAAGACAAACACCAGTACCTCTGGCTGACTTCGCAAACTGGAAAAGCAAAATTCTGCCGAAAGCACCAAAATTGTTACGCAATTCACGCATTTACTAATTTGTTGGTTTAGTTAGTGGTGCGACTAGTAGTTTGGCCTATATAATATAGAACGAGACATGGCGAGCTGCGGTCTTGACCTGTTTCATAACCCTTCTTGAAAGAGGGAGAAAAACTACGAAAATATCAGTCTGGATAACATTTTCCGGAACGGGATTCGAATCCATAATCATCCGAATAAGAAGATTGCTATGCGCTACACAGCGATGTTATACTTTTCGTTTATCAGCACATGATCAGTGAATAATTGCGGTACCTTGTTCGTAATAAAGAGGTCCTCCCTTTTCACATAGCCATCAGCGATTTTTTCTCTAATTGCTGTTCCTACTTCTTGGTCATTTCCATAAATCATAGCAGAATCAAAATGGCGATATCCTATATCGATGGCTTCTTTTACAGCTTTCTCCATCTCTCCAGGTTTTGCCTGTTTTAATAAAACAAAACTTTATTAATCAATGTGATTACATTTGCCCATTAAGGCCTGCACGCTGAACATGTAAAGCAAACTACAAATTTAACATAATCCTTATCCTGAAAAAGTCTGTTATCACAAGGTTTTATTCAGGCCTGTACTGTAAGAAATCGCAGACACACCAGTATTTTGTGTTGTTAATTATCATGTTAGTGGAATTTGGAAATATTTGACATTTATAATTAGTGTCAATAAACTAGAGTTCCTCAAATGTTCTAGTGTTAACTGGAAATATAATTTTTATAAAAATAAAATGATTCCTGAAATGTTATGTGAAACCTGCAAAATGAATTAATAAATTATTTTAACAAGTAACAACCACAAGAGTCAGCAATCAGGACTAATAATACCGACGTTTCGTCAGTTGGACCTTTCATTTTTATCGGCTGTGTGATTACCTGATTCCTGTCTCCACGTAACACAAGAAAGTCGAAAAAATCCTCTACTACAAAGAACCTAATTTTGTAAACACGGTTTTCACGTACAGTAGTACAGAATTTTCTAAGATGTCATTACTTAATGTGCTGAGTCGTGAAATGTGACACTGTACTTGTGACGAAATAGCTAAAGTTTTTTTTATTATTACTTGTCTCAAACTCTTACACTGTGATTTGAAAAGATACACAATCTCAAGTCGGAATTATCTCAAGTACAACAATATCAAACAATGCACCAGAACCGAAGAATGATTGTTAAACATTAGTCATGGTTGTTTACACTGTTCATTAGCACAGCACTACGTCACTGATGGGTCCATCACAGCTGCAGAGGAGTGTATTATAGACGATAACCTTGTGATTTTATAAATTAAATTCTAATCCTATAGCTTCAGAGCCTTTAAGACCGCCAAGATGATTCGACTTACCTGAGACGTTCCCAATCCTATTAAAGGAAAATTTATATTGTTGTTTAACTTCAAAGCTGGTGTCATCTTGAAATATCGCGAGTTCCACACAATTGCCGTGACCTCTGCTAAACAACTAAGTAACAGTTGTTCTCTTTAACAAGAAGTCGTGTACGATACGATTAATACCATAATGACTTCTTAGATAACGAAATGGTTTCCTCCACTCAGTACATTAGCTGGAAAACAGATGGCAGCATAATTTAGTATTTGAATACAATACTGGATGCCAATCTTGTCCGTCATTTGGTTTTTGGATCATCTGTCCTTTAGCTGGAGAGTTATGGCGGGGTCTGGCAACAACCCACCGTGTTACCAAATGTTAATAAGATCCTGGTATTTAATGAATTCTTTGCCATTGTGAGCATAGGTTTAATTAACTTTTATTTTCCATTAAAGCTGGGCAATTTCTTGACTATATGGGCGACTGTTAGCATCTTAATAGTAATTCTGCTTGGTATTCGGGAGATGCTGGGTTTAGATCTTAACTCAAAGATCGGTACAAGTAAATGGTACGACGTTACCAAATGGTCTTCTTTGCGCAAACAACAATAAAATTCTTTCAATTCAATTCAATTCATTTATTTAAGTGTTTGCTAACAGCAAGAAGTCAATAACAGGCAAACACTGATAATATATACAATAATTTTGAAAAATGAGGTCAAGGAAGAGAGGAGCTATACCTACATGGCGTATAGTGGGACAAACTTTACTTTACTTTATTTCACAAACAATTTAAATAAACATATATGTACAGTATTAAATATAATAGCCAAATATAGGCAAACCCAAAATAAGCAATAATAATAATTATAAAATGGTCTAATTATTAACTCAAACTTTGTTGATTTTTTTTTGCGCAACAAAGTGAATTGTATTAACCATATTAATGTAGTGACTAATAGATTAATTAGGCGAGTTATTAGTTTGAAATCAGTTGATAGGCCTATTATAGCCATTCTAGAATGTGGCGTAGATACTGGGAGCAGTTTTGCAGGTCTGGGTTTTTATAACATTTACCAAGGACATTATTGTCATCGATTTTATGGTTACAATAATATTTTATGAAGACTGGGGATTAAGGAGAATACTGCATCATGCTGCAGGGGCTTCAGAACAGGAAGTATTAAGCCATGGGTTTCAAAACACATCAGAGAGCCATCATCTGAATTTCAGTACAAAATGTGTGCTTCATTTGTACATCGTCAGAAAATAAGTAGGTGCCAAGGCAAGGGCAGAGACTTGAGATAAATATTTGAATATTATAATTTATAATTATAACATACAATTACATAATATTTAAATGTATTTATACTTATATTCAACATGTTTTTTATTTATCTTGAGTGTTACATATGTGTCAAACTAAAATGCCACTTCTGATGCAAAATTGTCATTTTAATCACCTGTTTCTTCAGAATTCAATGTTAAATGGATACAGCTTATGATCCTCAGCACTGGAACAAAACGACATATTTCAGTTACACTAAAATATGAAGACGAATTATTTAAAGAATTCTAAATTCTTATTAAGGAACATGAAATTAACACCATACCGCAGTGACAATACTTACAAGGTACAAACCCTAACGTTTCTATCGAGCGCATCAATAGAGGCCATCTCTTGCGGGCTCAATTTGAAGTTGAAGATGTCGATGTTTTCTTTAAGACGTTCCTTGTTTGAAGACTTTGGGATTGGTACCGTGCCATGTTGGATCTTTAACATAGTTTTAGCAATACCAACAACAATATAAAATGTCACAAAATATAATTATGCCTTAAACTGGCTGTTGATTGATTTCAGTTTCTCTGTCTTTGCAGAGAAAATAGTTTCGAGTTATATAATATATTGTAAATTATGAACAGTCTGAAAACAAATCGTCAGGTTCATTTTAAAGTCTTCTAGGTACAACATCGTGCAGACTACTGCGTATATGAAAATTACAACAGAACATGCAGAGATATGAACACAAAGGGAAGCATAAATACTCACCAGATATCTTAGAATGATCTGAGCAGCAGTCTTTTCATGTTCCTTAGCAATTTCTTGCAGTTTAGGGTCTTTAAGAGGCGCGGGTGTGTCCGCCATGGCGATGCTGTTGGGACTTCCAAGGGGACTGTAGGCTGTTACCACAATTCCCCGCTCCTTACAGAAAGCGATCAACTTGCTCTGGTTCAGGTACGGATGGCACTCAATCTGCAAATACGAAACTTGGTTGTGATACTGCGATGCGGAAGGCAAGTAGGGAAACCACCGCATTACAGTTTCCTAGGAAAATCACATCTACTTTACTATGGCGGGTCGAATTAATCACGGGCCCGAGTTCCGGCACTCCTTAAATGGGGCAAGGGTTCTAAAAGTCTCCGGACCCGCTACGAAGGCAGGAGGAGACTATCGTGGTTACAGAATGTTCGCCAATGGACCGGGATCCAAAGTGCGGCTGTTCCATCAAGCAGAGGATCGTGAAAAGTTTAGCGATGTGATCGCCAACCTTCGCTAGCGGAGAAGGCACTCGAAGAAGAAGAAGTTATTAAAAATAGATAAATTCTCTGTCGATGTGTTACCTGGTTGACGACAGGTTTAATAGTGGCAACGTCCAGAACCCGCTGTATCTGTTCGCTGTTGAAGTTGGACAGACCAACACTCTTCGTAAGACCCAGCTTCACACACTCCTCCATCACTTTCCAGGTGTCCAAATAGTCCACATCGCTGGGTATGAATTTGTCGTTTTCGTCTTTTGGCATCAGACTTCCTCCTTCCTACAAGCAAAGCAGATAACATGTTTTCCGTTTATATGTACCTCCACTTCACATTTTCTTCATTTATATTTCGATTTTTATGTTGGTTCATAAGGACACAGAAATCTCTTATCGATTCCAGACTTCAGTTTAGAAACAAATAGGACTTCATTCATTCGGGAATTACGCCTTTTTCATTGCTTTCAAACGTGAGTAGATTTATAATGTTAGGGGCATTCACATAACTAGTACAGCAATGTTCGAAATTCACTAGCTCCATGAAGCAGAGTCGTTCTTGAGAAACAAATATTCATCACACTCCTTGATAAATCATAAATGTAGACATATCACGACACAATTCAGGACAGTTTTAAGTGATGAGGTTAAAAACTGAGCACCAGATTTTGTAACACATTAGCAAAACTAACTTGTATTTTCGAAAGAACACACATATTTAGCTACTAGCCTAAATATTTAACCTTAATGTGCACGACAGACCTGTATATGGTGCATCGTGGTATTTATTTCTGTTAATGTATATTCGACTCCCTGTTGAAATTCTACAAGCACGAAGGTACCTTGATTCTGTAGTTGAAAGTCTTTATTAATTTCTATCTCCATCGATCGAACATTAATGTGAGCGTTGAGTGATATTTTACCTGAAATGCGAAGGGCCAGTGGACGAGGTACAAGTCCAAATACTCGAGACCCAGGTCTGATAGCGTCTTTTTTATACCTTGCATTACCAGTTCGGGCTTATGATAAGTGTTCCAGAGCTAGAAGGAAAGTGTAAGTTAGAACATCCATTCCTAACTTTACATGTTTTTTGTGCGAATTCTACTTTATTTTATAAAATTATTTTAAAATTTGTAGCAACAGATCAAATATGTAATGCTGAGCAGTAGATCAATTGGAATCGTAATGTATCAGCATAAATCCAAGCCAGATTTCTCTACCATTTTTCCCCCGTTTTTGGGGGCTACCATTGCCCCAATATCCATATCCACTTATTCTGTATAATTATCTTCCACCTCACAGTTGAAGAACTGCTGACTGATTGGAAGTGAAGTAATTACAAAGGAAACGCATTTACCTTACTAGTGACGAATATGTCATCTCTCATTATGACGCCTTCCGCGATCTTGGCCTTAATTGCTGCTCCAACCTCCTTTTCGTTTTCATATACCAATGCTCCGTCAATATGGCGGTACCCGATGTCGATAGCATGTTTGACTACTTCCTCTACCTCGCCTTCTTTACCAGCCTGTCAAATATCAATACGAATCAGTGAGATACATGCAACAAGCTTCACGGACTATATATTCTGCGACTCTTAAATAGGCTAATCACTAACTGCACCTCTTGACCATCAGGATACAATTTTCAAACACTTTCAGCATTATATAAATATTTTATTCCTTCTACTACTACGTTTAATGTTATAAGTTTTACAAGGATTGCTAGGCAGTTAAAATATGCACATATTTGTTTCTGTTTAATCCACAGGATACAAAACTAATCAGGTAGTAAATAATAATAATAATTTTGGAAAGATGCAGTTCGGAGATGAATACAGTTCCCACGTGCGTTCTTTGCAACTTTGCATTTTGACTGCTTCTAGTTTTGTATAGTCCCGTATGTCATGCACGCTGAGACAAGAGTCCGGATGAAGTTACTTAAAAAGTAAAAGTCTTATAGCGGTTTCTGTTATAACAACCGTCTCAATGCTTACTTATTCTTTATTTGTTTTCACTTAGTATTAATACTTTATCTTATATATGTCATCTATGTAGTGTATCATAGTTATTGACTGCTGTAATTGGCCTTGTTTGGCTGTTGTCATGCACACTAATAAATTAATTGAATTATCAATAATAGTATTATTATTAATAATAAATTTCAGAATAACTCATTAAATAGAGATTTTTGTGTGTGAAATGAATGGCTGTGACTACTTACATTGTACGTCCCGAGTCCGATGATGGGGAAATCGAGATTGTCGTTAAGTTTCACTGTTAGTATCATTTTGATGCACAGAGCACGACAGTCTACTGCTCTAATAAATTTCAGACAAATGATGTTGACAAAAGTGATGTCAATGATCAGTTAAAGAAGAGACCGCTCTTTACAACAATCTTGCTCCTCCGACGTATCAGTTTCAACTGGGGGCTGCAGTCATAGACTGCCAGGGGAAACAAGTTCGCTGACAAGATTTGGCCTGCCTTACTGTGCTCCCAAGGTCTCGTGTATTACACTCACTGTCCCACATAAATGCTTGTCAGTTATTCTTTTTTGTCTCTTAGCTAGTCAATAAATTTTTCGCTGTTCATAAAAGATTCATTACCGAATTTACAAAAGCCTGCCACTGCCCCTTATCCTGAGCGACACGAATCCAAGTTGTCATATACGTTTCTTTAAAAGCCATTTGAATATCAAGCTCGCAATTGTACCTGAATCTCCGAAGTGGCTCTTCCCTTCAACTTTCCTTCTTATATCGTTTGAATTTCTCATATTTCCCACGTCAAACCAAATTCAAAATATTCGTGCTGGCCCATTCTGCCTTGTGGTATTCTCCATACACTACAAGCAGGAAGAAACTAATGGGAATTGTAGGGTCCCCACACTAAGATTCATTTCACATTCTTCGCAAATTATCAATTATGTTAATAACAGTTTTGTACGTTACAGTTTATTATCGATGTCTGTTCGTTGTTTATAAAAGTAATGTAATGAATCGCCTCTGAATCCAGCAATAGAGGATTCTTACCGAGTCCAGTTTTAGAAGAATTCAAAACGACTGAATTTGCTGTAAGACTTGTAACAGAATGTGTAACAGAAAACACTTTCACGATTTTCCACGTGTGTTCACTGTAGATAAATTAACGTGCTGTTGGCCTTTTTGGTGTTTGTGCAGCAGCTAAAATGTTAATAGAAAATTATACGTGTCATCTAAAATTTACGCCGGACGATCGTCACTTTGCTTGTACAGTCAGCCGACACTTTCCGTTATGATTATAATCTGTTTTATGCTCTAAGACGGTGCTTTCTTGTTTAATGTTAAGAAAGTATGCAAATAGGAGGGGTTTTTACATTCATCGAACATCACATTGTCAATCTGAAAGACAAAAATACGAAGGGAATTGGAAAAAATAAGGTCTGTATTTGAATACTTTAGTTGAATGATTGGTAACACTGCTGAGACCTCGTCATACTGTAGACAAGTTTCTGTGCACTTTACTGCAAATAAATTACATTCGAAGACAGAAATCTTCATACTCACCACTGTGAAAACCTCATATCTTACAAATTACATTCATTTTAGTAAGTTATAACTTTATTTGTGATTTTTCGCTACGTTTAAAAATAATCTTTTTCAGCATTAAAAGCTCACAGCTTGTTTTCATTCCAGACGATATTTTTAATGAGGTCATGATGATGATGATGATGATGCTGTCATCCTTATGTCGGTCAGTACTCGATGTCGAAAGGGTAATTCTTGTCTCCCTTTCCACTAAGAGAAACAAAAATATAACAAATTAGGTGTGTGATTGAAATTGATTTTTGCACATGAAACTAACTTATTAACAGGAATATCAAATATTAGGTCAAGTTATTCTAAATTATATTAACTCATGAAGCAGGATTCTTTCTGAGAAGCCCATGCTCGTTCTAAAAGAACTCTTCTACGTACTCATTCGATGGCTGCGTGAATAGGCCTTCAGAGATTATCTGGACGTGGTAGGGAGAGACAAATACCGATCCTACTGAGCTTAATTATCTTAGGGAGATGTTAATAAGTTTATAACAACCTACGACCTGCGGGGCAAATCAAGAACGGCTGATCAGATTTTGTTGATATCTTATATTGGGGAGTTTAAGTAACCCAAACTTTGAAGTCAACTTACGATAACAAGGTAGCATTTCAAATTCATTGTTATTACGATATGCCATTTAAATCAAGTAATTTGAAGAACTTGCAGAGATATTAAGATTATAACACTGATTTTAAGAAAGTTTTGCTACTTTATACTAAGATTGATTCTACATTTTATATTAAAATAGATTATGATCATTAATAAGAAGGGCTTGAAAGTTTTACATATGACCCGCTTTCTCAAAGTTTTCATATATAAAATTTTATCATACTGTAAGCTACTTGATACTTACTCAGTGAAGCCACAGATTCTGACGTTTCTGTCCAATGCGTCTATTGCAGCAACATCTGCAGGACTCAACTCGAAATCAAAGATGTCGAAGTTTTCCTTAAGCCGGTTCTTGTTTGAAGATTTTGGAATTGGTACAGTGCCATGCTGAATCTGTATTGTTCCAGAAAACATAAGTTGGAAAATGCCATCTTATATATATATATATTCAGAGTCATTTACGTAGTTATTCCTGTAGTTTAATTGTAAAACTGAAGGTGTGTACTCACCAGATACCTTAGAATAATTTGGGCCGCGCTTTTCTTGTATTTCTTAGCAATTTCTTGCAGTTTAGGGTCTTTAAGAGGCGCGGGTGTGTCCGCCATGGCGATGCTGTTGGGACTTCCAAGGGGACTGTAGGCTGTTACCACAATTCCCCGCTCCTTACAGAAAGCGATCAACTTGCTCTGGTTCAGGTACGGGTGGCACTCAATCTGTTACAGACAGAATAAAATATTTTGAGAGTGATTTGTCAGTTAGGATTGATTTCAAATGAAATATCATACCGAACAAAGTATGTTCAGAAGTAGCCCGATTCTCGTTCCTGGATTTCAGTACTTAATTACGCTGTTATACTGCATAGAGAATGTATTTGCCACTGTTATGAAAGAAAATATGTAATTTTGGAGACTGAAGAGAAATTCCACAAATTCGACCCGGAACAAAATATATTGAAACAAATTTCTCTTACTGAGGCTTCTAAAAATATGTACAACCTAAATGACTGTTAGAATGCTAACTTTGCGTCCATTTTCGTTTTCCTTAAAATAAGCATATATGGTTTGTTTCGTCAAATTTGAGGGATGAAAATATTACAACCCTTTCAAAATAGGGCGTGACTTTATACACTCTGGAATGGATGGCCCAAAATAACATGGAGATGTAAACACACAATTTCAAATGTAAGAGGAAAACCAAGGGGACCTTGCAAAAATAATTTTTATGTCGATAGTCTGACAGTTGTTAGTTAAGTTGGTTTCTTTTGTGAGTACAGGAACACTATTTTCACAAAAATAATATTTTACCTGGTTAACAGCAGGCTTAATGGTTGCCACATCCAGAACACGCTTTATTTGTTGTGTGTTGAAGTTGGAGATGCCGATACTCTTTGTAAGGCCCAGTTTTACGCATTCTTCCATCCCTTTCCACGTTTCCACATAGTCGTCATTAGCTAGGAGAAGTTTGCCGTTTGAATCTTTCGGCCATAGTTCTGCTGAGTCCTACGAACATTTTGGGAAACCAATGAACCATTCAGCCATAAAAATGGGACGAACATATCTCTTACTCTTGTGAGCTTTGTGCAGAAATAAGTAGGATTTTCAACTGTATTTCAAAATGAAGTCTCAGATTTAAAAAAATCTACGGAAGAAGACGTTTTGCTAAGGAGCTATCTTAAAATGCTCTAGTCCAGAAGTTCCCGAGGTGTGGTACTTGAGCTTTATTCATGTGACCAGGAGAACTGCGATTACAAAAAAAATTACAAAAGAAAATTAACAAAAATCCATAGACAAATAATACAGAATTGCTAAGATACTTATGGAATATAAACGAAAAGCAATACCAACTTCTTTATTCTAATTTTTTTTATTATTTGTAGTAGGCCAAAAATTCGGGGGGGGGGATTGTACACCATCACTTCCTAGGCCTTCTTATTGATTAAATTATTTTTATATAATGTTCTGCAATCCACACTTGTCAATTAAGTAAAGAATTATCACTGCGTGACACACGTATGCTTCTTAGACAAACGATCAATCATTGCTCTCTGTGCATGTTATAATGTATCGCAATCAGTTTATTTTTTATTTAGTGTTCTGTCTGACGACAGGTCCATATCAACAGGATCCTTCCATCCTTTTCTCGGACTGGGACCTGTTCATATACGTTCTTGGCAGATGATCCAGAAGTGGTTTGCCATTGCCTTCTTCTGTGTGTGAATGGAGTAATTGTTGGGATGCCACGGAGAAACCGGGGAAGCCCCCGGAGGAAAACTCCGCGTTGCCTAGACCACGGCTTTGCCCAACACAAGTTATAAATTCGGGCACGATTATAAGTTACATGAGTAAAAAGTAGTACAAGGTTGATTATATTGAGTTTGCTTACAAGTTGTGTTTCACTGTTACCTTGAAGGCAAGTGGCCAGTGGATAAGGTACAGGTCCAAATATTCCAGGCCGAGGTCTGAGAGAGTCTTCTTGCAAGCGTCTACTACCAGTTCACGCTTGTGTTTTGTGTTCCACAACTGAAATGAATCAAAGTAAATTTATTTATGACAACAAACTCAGGTTTTCATAGGCTTGTGTGTACTCAATTAATTCCAATGAACTTTAGCTACCGCCTTTCAAATCTTATTTGATCTGAGTCCTTCTTGATAAGCTAAAGACGCACAGTTTATCAAGAAATTTCCAGAATTTTATGGAACCCTAAGGTTCATCACCATGTTCACAATCCCGCCACTAGGAATAAAATCAGTTAAATCGAGTCAATAGTTCTGTCTTTGAAGAAGCCATTATTCTCATCAACTAGGTCTCCCAGTTGGTTTTTACTTTCAGAGTTTCCGGCCTAAGCGGCGTAAAAATTTTTGTCTTCTCCATACGTGCTGCATGTTTCACCCGTCTTACCCTCCTTTATCTTATAACTCATAATATGTGTTGAAGAGTAGGTCTACACATTACAAAGCTCCTTATTATGTAATTTTCTTGTCTCTTAGGACACAGGACCAATAGTGCGGTGTTAAATGACTTCATGGATGGAGTCATTCTTGAGTAACTTATAGTCGCTCAGCTAGTCAATAGGTACCAACTTCTTACGGTCCCGAAGGTCCATTAGCGTGTGCACAAGAGTCCGCTACTGAACCAAACCACATTGTCGGTTTTAAGGTGCATGTGCCAATTTACGTATCAAATGAACGTCCCCATTTCTAGGATGTCACCGTACGCTACCTTGCTTGTAAGGAAGATGTCTTCCCTCTTGACGACTCCTTCTGCGATCTTAGCCTTGATACCAGCTCCAACTTCCTTCTCATTTTGGTACACAGCAGCAGTGTCAAAGTGGCGGTATCCAATGTCTATTGCATCTTTTACCAGTTGTTCTCCCTCGTCTGATTTAGCCTGTTAAGTAAGCAAAGACAGTTCATAATCGTAAAGGAAATACATGGAGGCTGTTTCATGTGAAGATCTAAGTAGACGATGCGCAACGAGGGAACTAAATGTTAATTACAGTATGACGGAACAAATAGATTGAATGGCTAACAGTCCTTCGAATTCGTGAGATGTTAGGTTCAAATCTCGGCAAAAAATAATAAAATTCTGACACAATTTTTTCGTGATTTTCCTCAATTCATCCAGCCAAATGCCGGAGCGGTATCCCAGGCGAAGCCACGGCCGCATCCTACTTTTTCTTTTCTCCAAGAGAACAAACCGTGTTTCTGTACCAAAATTAGTTGATTTTTTTGAAAGTTATTGCTAGACTAAAGGCATAGATTTACTGGGCGGGCAAAATACCAACAGAATTAGCATTAAAGTAAGATAATTATGGAAGTTCAATATTGGATTGGAATTGGTTCTGAAATCCGTAGACTTGTGAGTGTATATTAATTTGCACGTTTAACAGAGTGCAAAAATAGCCATCATACATTCGCATTTTGTGCCAGATTAATTTTTCAAGGCTGTTCTGATATATTTCATCTGGGGACGTACCGGTACCATTTCCTGATTTAAGGAAAAACCTCCCTCATTGATACAGGTTTGTTAAATAATCGATTATTTGCCCAGTAACATACACACGATCATAACATTAGAATTAGCATTAAATTTTTCATAAATAATATCTCTGATACGATTACTATTCTTGCTGGTATTACTTCTATATCCAATGAATATTAAAAGGCAACATCAACGAATAATATTCATCTTTAGGTCTTTATTGAATTTTAAGAATCGGTTTCGTGCTATCTACTCGTTACTAATTTCCTGATTCTCTCATAGACTCTCGTGTTTTACACACTGCTCTTACGTAATGCTTTCCAAGGCCAGAAGTTGGCTTCACGGATCGTTTCCTTGTTGATTTTCAGTGGATACGCCTACCAAATCAACAGTCGACTTTATTATAGGACTGAAACAAGACCGCAGATAGTTGTCACTTACGGCAACAAATTGCCACGTCTTGAAAATTGACAATTTGTGTTGTAGTGGTATCTCTTTGTACCACCTAGTTTAACATTTAACAGCTCCACATTTTGATTCTAAGAGTGCACAGTGATTATTTCCTTGAGCAGCATTATCAAATTGATCTTCTTTAAACAGGGAACGATTTTGAAACAAGGAAGTTCACTACGCAATTTAAACTGAGTGACAAATGAAAATAATTATAGTCGGAACACATCCTGTGCAGATTTCGTGAATTTTAGTTGTGCAAGTGATATTGGTATGCATTGCAAATATAGAAGTGCTCAAGTCAAAATACGAAGTTCTTAACGATAAATAGTGTTTGTGATATTAAACTTACAAACAGTGTTCCCACACCAGGAACTGGGAAATCTCGGTTGTCGTTCAGCTTTACTGTCGTCATCCTTGGAGCTTGTGAACAGACCAGCTGAGCGCTAACTACACTGTTCCTATGATCCGCTATGAATGGCAGAGACTGGTCGCCGGGTCTTTTATAGGCTATGCTACGCGGTAGATAATATGTCACGTGAAAATTTGCGCCTGTTGTTCCGCGATTGCAAATGTATCGAATGAAACAGTTCCATTGTGTAGATTTGTGTTGAAAAGTATGTGAGTCGTTCAGATAGTTAAAATACTCCTCTCTTATGGTACCCAAAAGTTTGTGACAGTATTGGCAAAGTCTTCATTTCCACAATGCATTTACCTTTGTTCAATTTTAATGTTATATTTACATCTACGCCCATGCCTCCCAAGTTCTTATCATTTTAGGAGTTCCGACTGAAATTTCGTATGTATTTTCCATCTCTATAATGCATGCTACACGCCCCGCACATTTCATTGTCCTTGATTTTATAACTCTTCGCATATTTGTTGAAGAATACAAATTATCAGACCGACCGACCGACCGACCGACCGACTAGCTTTTATTACACTTATTTTAACAAACACATAATTTGTATTGGACAAATGTGTTTGGGTATGTCAGATCATCAATGTCCTTTGTTAATGAATATATCTGTCATAACTGTGGTATATTTATGTGAAATATTAACAATGCCATTGTATTGTTTTTACACACGTTAAAATGTTCAGTTAAAATAACGAAATTAAAATGCATACCTGGATATTATAGGCATCAGTAGAAGAGAATAAGTATTACATTATTTAGGTGTCACCACGTTTCCCTGTTTATTCTGATACATTCCCCGATTAAATATTCTCTGTTGACAAAGGCTTTGAAATCGAGTCTGCTCGACGCCAGAAAGCTTTCGTCAAAAATTCATTCGTCGAACCTTGAACTCGCCCACTCTCCCTCGTACCATGACATCGTCGGACAGATCAATAAAACATTCCGAGTTAACAGTTTCGACTTCCGAGGCCAATACGAAGTACGACTTACTCAGCATAAATTCTTATTCAACTTAAATGAATTATACTCTCTGATATGTTATCGATTCTGAATTAATTCCAAAAAATTTAATCTCTTGTACCAGGGATCGGCAGCCCATGGGCACCTTGGAGCTCTCGAAAGGGTTTATGGATGCCAGCGAGAATTTGAAAATTTTTATAGTAACTGATAGATTAGTCACTGATGTTTACAGAGCACGTGGTGATCTAGGCTCTAATTTTCTGTCATGTGACAAGTAAAGTTCTAAATATTTAGATTGTGATCAGACGTCACATTAATTGGTACGTTCGGATGTAAATAATGGTGAAACTTTTTAAGACAATTACTTATTATCATTCCTTAGGCAGGACATTTATGTGAGATGGAGTGTGATAAAAAAGTGCTCGGAAACTGTCTTGGTGTCAGAACACAAGGCAATGATCTGTCTGTAATCCAATTATTTCCGTTCGCATTTTTCAGCAGATAAATACCGTGTCCACTATAAATTTAATCTTCTGCTAGTTGCCCGTCACCTAACAGTGGTTGGGGACCCATGTCTTAGACATTTGGTCAGAATTTGGGGAATTGGCCCATCATAAGGTTCTTTCTTTCGGGCAACAGATGAAAACGATACTCATCCACATCACGTTACGAGCTTGTCTTGCTCAACAATTGCATTAACCTCACCGATTTCCATAAAAACCACTCGCGTAATAAGCTAACAAACCCCCTTAATTGTGGACAATTAGATGTGTTATCCAAGCTACTGCGAGTGTCTTGCTGTCTGGGTAATTTTCTCTCGAGTTTTAACGTCATGCGCATAGACAGCAGATAGGATTTATGTGCAAATGTACTGCACCTTTTTTCAAGCATCTAGTACAGCGTGATGTTTCTAGTTCTTAGGAGATTCGTATCTTTTTTGACAGCAGTCAATATGTTTAATCACTTTCGTCTACATAATGTGGATGACTAATCTAAAGAGAAGGACATTAAAGTAAACAACAGAAACTAAAGATAAGATATTTCAGAATACTTGCCAAGCAAGATAACAGCTAGAACGAACTTCGTTGTGCAATGTTATGTAACGGAAGAATAGTCTGGAACAGTAAAGTGCAGTGTCATGCCAGTTTTGTCTGTTGAATCAGCAGATTTTGTGTTGCCTCTGAATGAGTTACATCGCTATGCGAAAACATCCTGCACTTTACCGGTGTTAATTGGCGACAGTGATAAGGTGGTTAATCAAAACGCTGGTTGAACCTGAACCTGAACCTGAACTTGAGTTACATCCTTCGGTTGGAGAAGCAATAAATCAGTAAAATGTATTAACGGGCAGCGCAGAGTGAAAAATAATCACTAGTATTTACAATGCACTACAATCGTTTATCAATTACAGATACACCACGCAACACCACTCTTTTTTGTTTACTGATTAGTTTTTAGAAAACAAGAAATTAAAATATAAGCAAATTTCCCTAACCACAAAGCCGCAAAATTATGTAAAATGATGACTGTTGTATTAACTGTAAAGCACAACCTTCCCAAAATCATTTAATATCAGGTATCAAAGTTGCATAAACTTAAATTTTAATCACAACACCTCTGCTGTATATGCTGTATATTTCTCAGGAAATTAAAAAATTATTTAGGTATGAACAAAGGAAGTTTCTTACTAATATATCAAAAATATCCCTCTGGTGAACATGAATGGTAATGAGAGTTTCAAATTTGGTGCGTTCAATTTTTGTGAGGTCTCTGGTTGTCTGATCAATGAGTGTGTTCAGCAATTCTAGAAACTTGTTGTTAGTTTCAGACATAATCTTCTTGTCTGCTCGAGCTTGTATCAGAGCAGCTTCTCCATCCCGAGTCCAAACCATCTGAATGCCCAGAATGCCAACCTAAAATTAAGGTTCAAAAACATAATTTCATTTTAGAAGTGCCTATTGAAATCTTGGTTATCTGTAAAAATGTTATGTTAGTAGTAACTTATATATATGTGTGTGTGTGTGTATTAATCAGTACACTTAAGGCTAGAGTAACAAGGCAACAAAGTAAAAAATTTACAAGAGTCTGAAGGATTTTATTCAAAAACAATCATATCAACCAGGAAATTTCCCACTCATTTCCTTCAAGGCCACGTAAAGTTGTCATAGAAGGACAAACGAATATCGACAATACACATTGAAATTTTCCTTGTAATATATGTCCCTTTAAAATAACCGATTAGAAACAAATCCTCCAAGGTTGCGTAAGAAAAGAAGACAAGTAAACCAAGGTCAGTATTACGGTTTGATTAGTCTGAAGGTGGTTTTAGGCTTTTACTTGATGACGGAAATAGAGCAAATTACGAAACGTTGTGTTTTATCCCTCCTTCCCCAAAGAAAAGGGACGAAGGAAAAGTTCCAAGAATATGTGTCAGTTTAATAATATGGTCTAGTTAAGTTAATAAAGCATCAAACTGTATTAGGTTTATTCCATTGATGTGATGACGCTGGTTTCTTCTTCAGAATTCAATGTTGAAGGGATAGTCCTTGTGATTAGATGCCCTAGAAGGGGGGAAATAAAAATAATAAATAGTTACACAAAACGAACGTATGTCATTAAGTAACAAATCTGAATTTGTGTTGCTTGGATACTGTAAATTGTATTATCAGAATGTGAAAATATTCATAGCATTGGTTTCCAAGATCGCTTATTCCACATACTTCATTGGCCTTGATGTTAAATTATTGCTTTGATGATACTATCGTAGTTGAACAATTCAAATGTACTTCTTCTATACAGCATTAAACGTGGGAACGTCGGTAATTCTAGTCTCATAGGATGTCTCTCTGAAATTATTTGGACGCCTCTAACTATAAGGACTCTGTTCTACGGAGTTAGTTATAGCTGTTATAACTTACTTATCGAACAGAAAAATCCGGAAGTTCTTGTTGACGGAGTCGATATAAGCCACTTCCTCTGGCGTCAGCTTAAAGCCAAATATATTGAAATTTTCTTCTAAACGCTGCTTGTTGGAAGACTTTGGTATAGGAACAACGCCGTGTTGGATCTGAAGAAAATAAGCTTTCTGGTAACTGAAGCAGTCGTCTCCCACTTCACGGTTCGACAGTGTAAATATCACATTTATTCAGATTTTGTGTTCAATATTTTGACCAATTTGTGAACTTAAAAGCTTTTTTTTATAAACTTAATTGTTAATTTAATGATGAAATCTGATTAATATACGCAAACAGTTAGACAGAATCTGTTAATCTTACTATTGAACCATATGTAGCGTTAACTTTCAACACATACGTTACTGTGCTATGGAGATTTTCGTGTGTAGTTTGATTTCAATGGAAGTTTCGCACGTGGTTATAGGCGTAAGTGTAAATTGGGCATAATATAATTACAATTTAATACAGTTTAAAACGTTTACGGCTTAACCTTTAGCGATGACTACTCTCATAATTTGCCCACATCAGTGTATTTATGTATTTCGTATGATTCTCAGAATAAACTGATTAATTCCCAAACAACATTAACAAACTCATCTTTGAAATGAAGATGCCTTGAGATATCTTGGATTTCATGTCGAAGTCTTAAATGCTGTTTAGATGAACTGAGTGTTTCCGAGGTTTCAATATAAATTAGATTCTAATAATTTAATGTTTTAGAAACCAGTATATTACTTCAGAGTGTTTAAAAAACTTTTTGTAGAATAATTAATAAAAAAATCTTCAGAACAATTTTTAAATTTTTAAATTGTCTAGCTCATACTTCTTGAAATTAAAGTTAACATTATTCCATCAAATGCAGAAACTACGTTTTTACTCTGCTTTGTAGTCTTTGAAACTTACCATATATCGGAGAATTGTCTGAGCAACAGTTTTACCATGTTTCTTGGCGACCTCTGCGATCCTGGGATCTTTCAGAGGCGCAGGAGTGTCAGGTTTCGCCAAGATTCCGGGACTTCCTAGAGGACTGTAGGCAGTTAACAAAATTCCTCTCTCTTTGCAGAAGTCTAGTAGCTTGGACTGATTTAGATACGGGTGACATTCTACCTGCAACACAAACACAGTTTCACGTTTGTGATGAAGACTGGAGGGCCAAGGTTTGGATGCTGTACGGGTAATAGGAATTATGTTAACGAGAATAACTTTGTTCCTTGTTAAACTCATCGAGTGAGGTAACTGGGTTAGTTTTTCTTTAGCAGTTCTAACACTTATTGCATTATGAGGGATTTAAAACTGACGTTTCCATAAGTTTAGGCACCTTATACGCTTTTACACACAGGTTCTTGTGCAGCGCAGTTGCACAGATTTCATGAAACTACTATCTTAGGGATGTCTAGTAAGAATTAGTTACAATAACAGCAAATGGATTACTGAACCAACGAACAAAGCAGCATAGCATTATTATAAGTTGGTTATACATGGAAAATATAGCATCTCTCATATCGAGCGTAAACCTGAAAATTGTTGTCCATAGATATTCACTGTTCCATCCCAAGAAATAACTTAGGTAAAGTTAAATTATGGGCCTTTGTTTCTAATACGCGATACTTGACTTAATTAAATAATAAATAAGTCAAATAGTGTTGCAAGTAACAGATTTTGATGAGTATGATGTAGTTTATTCTCAAAATGTAACTTAAGCAATTTAAATTGATAAAATTAGAAACATTACAAAGCCCCAGCTTATTAGCCTAAATGGCAGTCTAAAAATTTGGTTGAGTGCAAAAATATAAAACTCCTCACATTTCTTTTCCCATATATACATATTCAATAATTACATTTCCATTAAAAGTTTATCTACTTCTTTCGGTCTGATACCTGGTTGACAACAGGTTTGATAGTAGCGACGTCTAACACACGCTGAATCTGCTGACTGTTGAAGTTAGATAAGCCGATGCTCTTAGCAAGACCCAGCTTCACGCACTCTTCCATCGCCTTCCACGTGTCCACATAGTCCACATCGTTGGGTATGAGCTTGCCTTCTTCATCCACGGGGTCGAAGATATCTCCTTCCTTCACTGCGAAAGGCCAGTGAATGAGATAAAGATCCACGTAGTCCAGTCCAAGATCTGAGAGTGATTTCTTACACGTTGACACCACTAGGTCGGGACGATGGAAGTTGTTCCACAGCTGGAAAGAAAATAATCCATGAAGCAGAAAACACTTTCATTAGCTAATAATCTTTTTGCTGGTCAAGGTATTCATGGCCTTTTATGAAATCAGTATCAAAATATGGACTTCTGTACAGAGCCAGATTTATCCAATCCGAATCTTCATGCTGTTCCTTCAAGATCCATTTTAATATTATCCTCACATCTACGCGTAGTTATCACCTATGGTGTGCCCCATCAGGTTTTCCGAATAAATAATTAGTGTATTTCTTATTGCTCCAGTGCGTGCTTCGTATTCTGCCAATCTAATTCCACTCAACTTTCGGGTTCACAAATGAACGAACTTTGTTATTTGAATTTATTCCTTCAAATGGTATTTATTTTAGAACGGTTGTGGAAGACAGATATGCTGGGTTTGTCAGAATTTCAGGCATCAATTGTACGCGCGTTATGTAATAAAATTCATAATTAGTTAAGATATTTCAAAGTACTGGTTTGAGTGTACCTTGCTGGTAACAAATAGATCTTCTCTCTTGATTAAACCCTCGTTAATCTTATCCCTGATCGCTGATCCAACTTCTGCCTCGTTTTCATAATACATGGCTCCATCAATGTGACGGAAACCGACATCAATTGCGTCCTTCAGCACAGCCACCACTTCCCCTGGTTTTCCTGCCTGCAGATACACAATATTCACAGTCAGCATTATGCTCATGAATCGTAGCGAATTCCTAGAATGAAAGGCTTTTTCCATAAACCCCATTCTGTGTCCATGCGACTTTTGTATGAACGTTCCGGGAATTACTGGGTCCATCCGTTTTATTTATTTTTATGTGGAAACTGTATACCGTCTGTAACCCCGGACAGGTGCGGCAACTTCTCCGGCGTACGAGTAAGAGATAGTCTAAACACAGTGTTGCAGGCGTTTTGCAACCCTTTCTGAAGTTCCCTACTAACACTGTCCACACAACTGCAAGCTAGAGCAGCGTCTGTCAGATTTGTAACTTGTCTTTTCTATTTCTGAGTGTACGTTCTCTTGTCACATACTGACCTGAAATGTGCCGACACCTATTACTGGAAAGTCACGTCCATTGTTGAATCTGACTGTAGGTACCACCATTATGGAGTACAGATACTGTGAACAACCCAGAGCTTTGTGTAATAATCAACTTGCAGAAGAGAACAAAATACTCGTACTAAACCTTCCGTGGACCTACTATCGTTATGGCCTGAGAGGTATTAGAGTAAAAACAAGATATCAGTTAAATATTTTAAGTGTTAGCGGTGCATTATGGTCTTATTATTGCACTTATCTTTTGGGATATTTCAAGATTAAATGTAATCTTAACACAGACGGTTAGACATTCACCTCAGCGTCTGAACTTTGAAATATTCCAGCATGTTCTGTGGCAGTTACAGAATGTGGAATTGTGTATGGAGAGAGTTTTATATGAAATTCGTTTTTACACTGAGTTTTCATGGTGATCATGTGAATCTGCGTATTTCAAAACGAGCTCTTAATTTTAAGTGGTATATTTATTACTCCAGCCATATCGGATAATCTGTATGCGTCCATTTTATCTCACATTAAACGTAATGTAACATCTATAGCGATCATTGCATTTCAGTTTGTGTATCAGACTTCTCATGCAGCTGTTATCAAAGTGTTCGTTAGGTAATGTGTGTTTATTCTAAATTGTTCGACATTTTAAACCTATTTTAGCATTGCCACTTTTAAACACTTTTGCTGTAATTCTTATTTTCTACCCGTTCTATGTGAAGGAAGCCAATTTATACTTTTGATCTTTACTGTACTGATTATTCATCGAGATGTTTGTATTCCTTTAAGAAATGGTTAATTTGGCATACATGTGCATTTGTGTATGAATATTAAATTCTGTTGTTATATAATGTGTTACAATATTTAAAAAAGGAGATATGCTTGCAAAGCTGTAGGAATGATAATACTGTCTGCGTTGGACACAAACCTTCTTCAGATCTTCTCTCTCTCTCTTCAGTTAGGTAAGAAATATCCCACTTTTAATGAAATGGAAGGTTTAATTTTGTGTTTATAAGACCCACCATTGATCTTTGTCCCGTGACAAATTAATCCGGGCCACATCCTCAAATCCTGTTCTTAGGATAAATTTTACTCCCGGCCTCTCTCTCGTGTGCCGCTCGGGCTTCCAAATGGTCGCCTTCATGTTTTCCAACTTAAGTGTTTTAAGGCTATGTATTTCTCGTCTTTCACAATCATGCTGCGTGCAACAAAACTCTCATTATCCCCCACTGATTCACTGAATTTTATGTGAGTGGGGACACGTGTCATCCGTTTATCTGAATTGCCATAAAAAAAAAACAAGCCGAGGTTGTTCATCAGTTCGGTACTCACGATTGTTGAATAGCAATGCACTTAATTCTTGGAAACATTTGAATGACTAATTGCTCAGACACTATTACCATATATATATTTTCATTCTTTGTGTACAAAAAACTAAATTCATTTCTGTACTGGTCTGTGCGTACATGTTCCGTCGTTGATGAAGATAGTTTATTTTAAAGAGTAACTGATGGCTTACATTTGTGCTTTGTGTATTAAAACGCGACTCTGTATGTTGATATATATATATATATATATATATATATATATATCGAGGTTTGGTAACAGCAGTATTTCTTCATCTGCATTAGTTATTTCAAGAAGCTGTTCCCAATACGTAATATAAAATTAACTTATATGAAACATTTAAAATTACACACACTATCTTAGAATGGCGTCTGTTTTCAACAGTAGGCATACTGAAATCAGTATGTTTAGAACGAAGATGTATTTATTGCATTTTAAAGCAAGTACGCATGTCTTGTACAGCAGTGACGTCAGAACACTGGAACATCGAACCATTGCCATTGTTTCTCCAGCGTGTCATTCAATTCATACTTCTCACACCTCGACTTTAGTATTCTGTAAAGAAAAATACAGGTTCATAGTAGTTATGAAGTAGGAACATTTAATTATTTACTTATAGAAATGAAATATTTAATTTCAGTACTTTTGACAGAACATGCGAGTGTATTTCATAAAATATATTTAATATGTAATTTCATTATCTGAATAAACTGGAAGTGAACGACATACACAAATGTAAGTATGCATGTATTCCAAACGCGTTATTACCTCATTAATATTTATTACGTTTTCTTTACATAGACAACTGGTAATTATAATATTTAAATTATGAATAAATATTATGTGTATACCGCATCACATTAAAATTCAACATCACAAAATTATAACTTACCTGAATTATGAAATTAAATCACTGCTTACTTTTGTTCGAATAATGCGTTTGCCACATCTCTACCATAGTGGTAATTATACATTTCAGTTTAATTGTACGCTGTAACTAAGTTTTCTCCAACAATAGGAAGAAAAACAAATTATCGTCAGTAGCCTTAAATGAATATACGTAAGTTTTATGATTAGCTTTAAATAGCTGAAGACAGTATTAGGTGAATAGTACAAATTATTAAGCTCCTTATTACGTAATTCTCATCGCACTTCTGTTACTTCCTGTTATTTATATTCAAATACGTATTTTCCTGGTCACTTTGTTCTCAAAGAGTTTCAACTTGTATTATTCCCTTGCGGTGGGAGACCAGTTTTCGTATTCTGTGCTGAATGGCAGCAAAACGTTTCCTAATTGTAGAAGTATTTGTAATTTGCAATGAATATAATTTAGATGTCGAAATGGGTCACTTGTATGTCCAACTTTGTGGCAAGAAGATATAATTTTAATATTTTACTATAATTCTTAGTACTAGAACTTCACCACATTGACTGAATGGCTGACTCACGGGTTGTATTTCTTGCACCGCACGATGGGATAATCTTTCTTGTAACACTGTGTGCCAAGCACGTCGAAGTACGTTATACCAACTTCTTTAGACCCGAAGTCGTCGTTCTTTTTCAGACAGTAATAAAATTCATCATCACATTTACAGTGTAGCCTGAAACAAAACATTATAATAAGAACAACAATAATATTCCTTTAGCTTGTGTGGAACTTCAAAATATGCCAGGAACTGATCGTTACTGATTTAGTTAAGAATCTCACTTTGTGTAGAAAGAGTTATTAGTGAGATTATGCTTGGAATGCCCCGCCTCTATGCTATCTGGACAACTGTCGTGCTCTCTGCAACATTTGTCCGTTTCCTGGGATGATCCAAGGTCCGTAAAGTTGGCAGCAATGTTCCCAGACCCACACCATTTCGTCCCTGTAAACAAATAAATATGTTTTAATTTTAATAGAACTGAATAGGGCTTGCCAGAGACGAGGCTACATAGACACACACATATGTAGCAAAATATTTTCTTAATAAGAAATACAAGAGAATTTTTTTAAAGAAAATAAATAGAACACATGAAGCGATGAACGAAATACCAAAAACTGTTCAGTTACCATAAAAGCTTTAATTTAATACACGTCTATAGTGCTCTTTTATAAGTTATTATAATGTATTATTACCATCAGTAATTAAGTGCTGTAATAAATTATATTAAAGAAAAATATGAGCATTTATTCCTTTATAATTGTTGATGCCAATGAGACAGAACGAATAACAAATTAGTGATTCTGATTAATTATTATGACATTAAAAAGTAACAAATAAATTAAGATGTAATGTTCTACAAGGCTAAACATAATCATTACGAACCTCTGAAATTTGTCACCCATAATTTAGATACCCAGTAACCGTTCACAAAGTGTACACAAAATACATAATAAGAATTAAATGCCCAAATATAAATAAATATTGAATTCAACAGACCAACTGATAGATACTTATGATTGAAAGAACAAATACAAAAATAACAGCGCTTAATAAAATAAATTAATTTTAGGGTGGTATTTAATTAAACACAGAAACAAAGGAATCTAGACTTACAACATTTTAAACTGTATGAGACTAACTAACTCCACGGGGAGAATTCTTTTTAAAAAGTTATAGAACCAAGATAAATGGGAGAATAATCCACCGATATTAAATTACGTACCTGGAAAAATTAGACTAAATCTTAGGTCGTTCTTCAATCCTCCCTTACTCGAAATAGTCCAGCCTTCAATTTCCTGTGGCCAGAGTTTTGATATGATTAGGAAAAACAACATCAGAAGACACTGGTCACACCACTTCATTGTACCTGAAAACTGACATATACGAATATGCAAATTGAATGTCAAAAAGAGATTTAACGAAAAAATACCTGAAGAACCTAATGGAGCGTCTTAAGTAGCTTAAAATTATTCTGTATGCCCGCTCAAAGGACCCTATATATCTTCCTCGTCTATCTTCTACGAATTAGGTCTTGTGGCTTGTTTCAATTCGAAATTAGACTTAAATTATGAATACTTTTAGAAATTTGGACGGAGGTGGGTCCATCGCAAGACCTGTACATACTAAAGACAGCACAACACAGAAGACATTGGTGAAAATGAGATTCGAACCCACGTTCCCACTTTTTCAGCGGAATTGCGCTGCAATGGACTCTAATTATGTGTTTCCGTTTTTGAGCACAACAATCTTTTACACGTTAATTTATTTAAATTTTCAACTCTAGTATAATATGTTAATGACATGAAACAAAACGCTTATCATATTTCACACCCTTCCTGATATTTTATTCAATTCATTGAAACGAAAATTCTGTTTATAGAGTAGCTTTATGTCAATAACTTTTCACCAACAGTCTGATTCTAGTGAAACCCACAACAAAAACGATGACATAGGTTACCTGAAACACTTACCTGGGTGTTTCTACAAAAAGAAAGAATGTAGGTGCTCTGCGTGAATGTTACGTCAGCACGCCCGGTACAGTATCAGATAATACTGCAGCCTATTGCTGGACTTTATACAAACATCTAAATACACTATTTAAGAGTTATTTCAGTAAATTTCGAGCGGATAAATAAGCATTTGTACCTAAATTGTAGTTGTTAACGACATTGCAGTTTATGCACATTTTCATTCTACGTGGTTTCGCAGTCATTTCACTGAAATATTTAGACCACTAATGCACAAGATCGAAATTCTACATTCTTTTCCCATCATAATTTAAGTTCGGTTCCCGGAAGGGATTGTATGGCCCACCTAGCCTTCTATCCAATCGATCCTGAAACCTCCCTTGTGGTGCACAAGACGAGCGGAAGTTGGTGACCACCTTCGTCCATCCAGTACCATGGTTAAGAGTGTTAGGAGCGTTGTCACTATGCCTTTAGAGTTCGGTGCTTAAGAGCATTGGTAAATTTACCTTTTACTTTTACTATGACTGTTTCAGCAGAGCCAGTGTAATTTATAGGCCTATAGATGCAGAAGCTGTCGTAATCAAACTCGTGATTCTGTTTCGCTTATAATATGTAACTCCTCAGTGAAACTGAAATGTTTTTAAACGTAGTATTAGAATAGTTGTGCCTTTGCATCCGCTGCTCAAACAAACGCATCACAGCGACGTTCAAGAGTGCTGTGTCAAGATACTGGCCCTGCGTGCGCCTATATATGACAACATTAAGTGGCAGAATATGGATCTAGACTAAAAGAAAGTGTTATCAAGAATCCCGCGGTTTTATATGTAAGCGACGTTGTATTGTTCGGAGATACGTTGTTTAGCCGGTGGGCAAGGTAATCAGTATGGTCATATCTAAATTAGTGACGTGTATTTCAAAGGGCCCTCTCTTTCGTATTCATCCTGTATTCAGTTGCCGTCATGGGTAGTAGCCGATGTTTTTACTGTTGGTAATATAATTCGATTAGAATGTAGTCTGAGGTTGTGTTTAATGACTAATCGACTAAACAACTAACTCATTACTGCCGAACCGTTCTTTGAAAAAGAATAGTGGCTCAGATAACAAGAAATGTTCTTTCTTTTTATACAACTCGAAGGTTTATTACCATGTTCGAAAGAGTCCGCCACTAGACACGACCCTGAGCCGAAAGAAACCAGTTAACATTCACACCCTATTTATTTAATAACCATGTCACCATTATTTTGCCATCTAGGCCTATGCCTACATGTCCAAGCGGTCTTTTCTCTACGTGTTTTTGGATTCGAATTTGGTATCTCGTCTCCACAATGCGAAGCTGGAATCGTAGCCACTAAACTACGGCGTTTAGAACTCTTTGATTCAATGAAACGTCGAAAATGGCTGGCTTCTTCGTATTCGCCACCGTGAGAACCTCAAATTCTGCCTAATGAAATGTCAACTCTGTGACCTTTCCAGGTGTCTGTCTGATGACCAGCGGGGATTTTACCCTGAAATAAAGGCGGCCAGAACTTCAAACCTAAACGTTTTTTCTTAAATACCTTAATGTGTCAACAACCCTTACCTTTAAGCCATGATTTTAATGACATGGTTCAGACATAAACTTATTTTATAGAACCGTATAACGCGTCATTCTATTATGTAAACTCTCGTGTGGAAGATGTCACCAGTTTCTCTGTTTTGTCGATAGTTCGTCTCACATTTTGAATTTTTAGCCTCACATGCGTCATTATTCAGAATACAGTTAGTAAACTATTAAATTATGCAACGCGTAATTTAGAACGTAGGTTTCGTGAACAATATGTTGATAACAAAATACGTGAAATGATTTCAGGAACACGTGTGTGGTTATCAGTTGTTGTATATTTTCACACGAGGTAAGGGGTTGTGTCACTCACTACGAGCGAAGCTATTATCGTAATTTTGTTTTTAAAGTTTAAATATATGCAGATCACCTATTTTATACAACTTCTGATATCAGGCAAAGTGATATGTAAATAAAGCTTGTGGAGTAGTTGTTGAAAGTTGGTTTGATTTTTAATTTTAAAAGCTAGTTTTAATTACATGTGTAATCTGTTTTTATTTTCAGCAACTTATGTTTTGCCTATTGAGTGTAAATCCTATTTTCGTAATCGCTCGGTTGACATTTTAAATAGCAAAATAATTGTTTACTTTAAGTTGTTCTACCATAATACTTTTATTCAGTGCTGTTGTCGGTACAATTGTATTTTTAGACAACTTATATTAATACCCTTCACATACACTCTGAAAGTCCAACATTTCCTTGGTATTCTGGAAGAATTTATAAAAATTCTTATGGTATTTTTGGAAGGTATTTTATCGTGAACTCTGAAGTATATATCAGATTCTTATGACAGTGATAAAACTAAAATATCATAATGAAAATAATGAAACTAAGCGTTGGACCTTCGATCTGTGAATGTCTTTTGGTGGGGACTGATACACATGTTTAGAAATATTTCATTTCAGAACATCATTACATTTACATTTGTAAAAACCCATAATTTACATACGTGTTCTTTCTATTATTACAGTTTTATTGCATCTGAAGTTTTTGAGCATTTCTGCATACAACGCAAAGTTATCACTGCCGCTTTGTTTCGGTCATATTTACAAATATACTAAATATCAGTAATGTACATTTGTAGGTCTACATGCTGCGGGCTTCGCTGATGTAATGACCCATGCACGATTCTATTCGAAATAGAGAATAAGAAAAAATAACTGTTTATGTTTACTTACAGATGAAATGCAGATTAATAGAGTAGTGCCAAGATCATCAAATAGAAGTGGATAATACACGTTTTGAAAATTTGACAATTTTTCAGTATTTGGGAACGACGTTAAAAAATAAGATTTTCGTTTACGAGGAAGTTAAGAGCAGAGTAAATGCGGGGAATGCTTGCTGCCATGCACTTTAGAATCTTTTGCCTTCCGTCTGATACCTGAAGACGTCAAGACTGAAATATACGAAACCATAATTTAACCTGACCTCTTACGCTAAGATAAGAACACAGATTGAAGGTGTTTGAGAAGAAGGTGCTTTGGATAATATTTGGACCAAAGAGAAATTAAATGGCAATTGTTATAAATGAATGAATAGCCAATGGGAATTACAGTTCTGTTCAACATTCATGCGGTCGTTCACTGAACAGATCGAGCTCAGTATTCGTGTATGGGCCTACACAACAAAAATGCAGTCTTATGTTAAAACGTCTCGGTTGTTCAATAATAACAGGGACATTTCCAGACACAGACAAATTCCATTTCCTCATTACTAAGCTCATAAAGATTTGTTTAGTTTAGGGGTAACAAAAATACAGCCCGCTGTCATATTCACATGATTTTAATTATAATTTATTGTTACTTTTTAATTTCTAATATATGTTAAGAGGAAAGCTTTGTTCTAAAAATTACATAAATTGAGTATTTGACCGAAATATCAGTTTTAAATTCCTTAGCAGGTGTATTTGCAATTCTGATTTTCTGTACGTACAACCGAGTAGGAGAACGTCGAGAGTGGAGCCACTACAGACTCGGTTAATGCGTGGCTTAGGACCTTGATAATGTTAGAGTATTATCTTTGAATGAATTATTTCTAATGTAATTTTTATATACTTTAGTACATCTACACCATTACCGTAACTCTGTGCTCGATAAGAATTGGGCCCATATTCACAGAACATATGTGACTGGGAATCCTCTTGGGAACAAGCTCTTGAAATGTTGATACAAGACTTGAACCATGTTGTATAGAGGTTGCTTAATGCGTGCAAATAATTGATAGCTATTTAACGAATTTCGAACTACATAATTTTTCTCGTAATATAGCTACGGTATATGATTATTTCGCAACAGACTAGTCCGGTAAATCATAATTGTTTACCCTAGTTCAGTAGGAACGCAATAAATAATTGCGGCTCCTTACAATTAAATTTTTTACTAGTATTGAAGAAACTGAGAGTGCAGTAAATTGCAAGATGTGGACTTGGCTTGTGGTTGTGTCTTTGTCTTCCAACAATTTTTGACCGCTAATCAGAATTCCATCGCGTCAAACCACTGCCAGATCTTTGGTGATGAATAATTCATGTCGTATTTTACGCATCCCTTATGCAGTAATCTGTAACATTAAACCACAAAAATATTTCATCCTTACAAGTCCTTACTCATTATTCATAATATTATAATATTAAGTCGACAACGTGTCGTTAAATAACCTGTCAATGAACCAGTCTTCAGATCCCATAAAAGACGAGTGATTTCTTGATTAGCTGAGTGGCTATTAGATTCTCAAGAAGAACCCTGCTGCATGTAGTTAGAGGCTTACCATTTACGGATTTTAATAGAGTATCTCACCGAGTGGTGAGGTTCCCTGCAACCCTCAGAAGAAGGGAGGTGGAACTCAAGACAATTGCGTTTCGCATTTCTTATTCTTTCATTTCCAATGTTAATTTTTAATGTGAATGAATGTGATGTTATGTTCCTGTGACTTTAAAATAATTTCATGGTGCCAGTTTCTATAGAGTAAAAACTATATAGGAGCTCGTAATAATTCGATTAAAACCTGGTTTTTTGATAAGCCTACAATGTGAGGCAAATAACGTGCTCGTCCTCGGCAAACCCGTGGCTGTTGCACTCAACTCACCCATCGCGCTCTTTACATCCTAACACGGGGTATTCCTCCCTGAAACACTTCGGTCTCAGGATATTGAAGTAACCTATACCGACTTCTGTGGAGACTATATTGTTGGCTTTCTTCAGGCAGTAGTAAAACTTTTCATCACAGTCACAGTTAGACCTGTAAGTAAACATTGTAACATTTCTACACGTGGCAACCACACATCATACATCCAAAAACCCGACTTGAAGGAGGCCCCCGAGAACACATTTATCTTCATTATTTGCACGAAGTGAACGCATAATGGTGGGGACACTATTTTCCTGTTTGTCCTTCCACATGTTCCATCTTCTGAACTACTAAATAGTATAACATATATTAGTTAAATAAGTAGCGTTAGTAATATGACCTGAAATTTTAACACCGCTAAAACGAAAGCCCGCCATTGGACACAACGCTGAGCCAGATGCAGGGCTCGTCTGGTTCTTATAGTCACAATCAATTTCCCGAACATTCAACTTAGTGGTATAAACTCATCTCATTGGTCTTCGAATTGACTTGCGCACCAAAATTCAGTGTGCATTTGTTGTTTTATTGATCTAGCTGCACACCCATTCTACCGTTAGGCCTACTATGAACTGAATGAAGGAGTGATTAACGAACTATCGTAGACTAACAGATTTAATTTAAGTACCAGTAATTACTTAAATCCAGTGATTTCATATTTTGTCGTTTTTTAAACTTAAGAATAAATTACGGATTTTTTGTTCTCTTTACTCTTTCCTTGTTTATCGTTTCACTTAACGATTTAGAAGTTTATATTTTCTTTAATCTATTATGCATTCAGTAGGGCTTCTTGGATTGGGATATATCCGCAAACCAAGCGAGATTAGAACCCAGTGTACCAATGTCCAGGTGTTTATAAATGGAGCATCGGTCCAGATATACTCTGATATTACTGTGTGCACGGAGAAAGATTTTAGGTCCCTATTTCAGAGTCTTAAGTAGTCTGCTTATATGAAGGATGGTCCCATCGGAATGCCCCTACTACTAAATGGCAACACAGACAAGCCTCCATGCATCCTGAGTTATGTGATGCGCGGTTCCAATATTCGGTGGTTCCAGACTGCACAGTCACTGTACTCAGCCGGAAGTGCTCGGAAACAGTTTTGTAATGCCAATTTTATCGTCTGCAATTTGAATTACGTTTGGTTTTTCGTTGATACGACAAGAAGAACTGCTGACCTGGTGAAGAGTCCCGAGTTCTTGAGCCCGTGCCCGGACTTCCCTGCAATAATGTTATCGGGACATTTGTCATGCTCCCGGCAGCAACTGTCCGTCAGTTTGAACAGCCCCAGATCTTCCGCACTCTTCGAGCGATTACCGACCCCACACCATTTCGTTCCTGGAACAAGGAGCTTCAGTTTAGTAGTTTCACTCTGCCTAAATCTGCAGTCCTGATGATGGAGGCAGTGTGTTCCTCCGAAACGGAATCTGCCAGTACACAAGGCTTTACAACGATGAAGACCAATTTCTACGTCTTTACCGCAGTGTGAATCTGAAATCTCGTATATCTTAAAATTGGTCTCCACATTTTTTTTTTAAATTTTCATTAACAAATCATCTTACAATTGGACGCTACATAACCTAGAAAGTTGAAAATATTCGTCAGATATGATCGTTAGATTGTAGCTATGCCAGGTTATTTTTTAGCTTCAGACGCCCGGCTGATCGTGTAATTAAAATAATTATGTAATCTTGTCTACACATTACAGTCGTTCTGTAAGCCATTACAATATTATATTGAGGTGTCGTAACACGTGAGTTGCCACGTTTCTTGTACCTGAAGACCGACATATTCCAAAACAACCAATACTTTTTTGTATTGTACTGTCAGTAGGACTTGACAAGATAGGTAAATAAGTATCACGCACAAGTTTCTACTGTCTTCAACTTTACTTTAGCCAGGTTTTAGATACTGGCAGTTCGCGTGTTTTAGCAACGTTAGTAAATTATATACAAAGGAAGATTTGAAATCTATAAATCCAAGGGAATTTGTAAGGTAATTAGTGACGTAACCGCTGGCATATTGCAACATTACTGATTTTACTGAAGGAATAGAACGGTAACGAAAAATTGCATGAATCGGAGTTAAATTTTCTGCCTTCCTCAACATTGATTGAGAAAAACGCGGACAGAATGTGGAACACACTTGAAGTTATAAATTCATACAAATTTATAGTCCAAGACCTTCAAAGAGAAAGATTAATCACAACGGAGACGTGTAGGAAAAAGGGAAAAGAATAAAATGGATATTGCAGCTAGTGTGGACGTCTGGGTTCGATTCAAGTGACTAAGGATATGGTTCCATGTCTAAATTTTGTTAACACGATGCTGATAAATTTGGTTTCACAATACGAGGGAATTTCTTCGTCAGTTATGTAGGTATCCACTTATCCAAGGAGTTACTTAACAGTCATAGAAACAAACCACTCTAAAAATATTCAGTTGTTACGGTTAATCGACTTTTGTCTTGGTACCTACGTTATTAGATCCACATCTTAATTCATGTTCATTAAAGGTTTCACTGATTTATTGGCTAAGATGCACACCCTGATACTATTAATTTTGAATCCTCCATTAGAGATCTAGGCTTAAAATTATTTATCATTGCCAAACACTATTAGGATGATGAAATCAAGGAGGATAAGATTGTCGGAGCACGTAGCACGTACAGTGCATATGAGAAATTCATACAGAGTTTTGACTGAGTAAAATTATGGGGAAGACATATCTCGAAATACCTAGGAGTAGATGGGAGAATGATATTAAAATGTATGTTAATGGAATCAAGCTCAGGACAGGGACCAGTGCTGATGTTTGTGAACACGGCAATTAACTTAAAATTCTCAATCAGAACGTAGGCCTTTACATAATTTACCTGGAACTATAGGCTTCAGACTGTCGAAAATTTCTTTCTCAATGATATCTGCAGCTTTTCTAATACGGTCCGACAATCCAGGTTTGGGCTTGGTTGTTGTTTCATGTTCTTCATAGTGTGTAGGGTTCTCTATGGCTTCTCCGTGAATCAGTTTCAGCGTGAGGCTGATCGACAATAGTAGCTGTGTCTGAAACAGTAACATGATTAGAATAACTTCTGATATCGGGAGTTTTTTTTCAGAGCATGATGTTTAAAACGAATATTAATGTAGTAATAACGTTGTTTTGTTTACAAGATAAAAACTCACAGCACATAAATTTTATTGTTGGATTTCTGCCATTTTTTGTCTCCTACTGTAGTTCGGAGTGTTCGACATAGCAAATTCGTGTGCTAATATTTACTTTTACGATAGTTGACTACTTGCACAACGTTTATTTTTACCATGTGACATACTGACATAGTGCGGCACCGTAGTTGAAATTTAAAGGTTTTGTCGATAGTGTTATTCAGTGTTGTAATAGTTCTGTTGGACTTTATTGTAGTATGTAAATGTTTTGAAACAGAGTACCGTTCTTACTCCCGCCAGAAGACGGAAGTAGAACCAGATTCGGAACCGCTGTGGTTCCGAAGCCGGTTCTATCACTGAAGTTGGTAATTAACAGCATCACCAGAAAAAAACAACATAATTTTTCTGTTTGTACTATAATAAATTTTGGCCTACTGTCTTACAGTAAGCTCTGACTGCTTCTTACATATATTTTCCAATTCATAATACGATACCGGACAGGATAACGCGTAAGTTAATAAGGCCCAGAATAAATCGTTCATAACTATTATCTAGCAGTGGTTAACGCTTTCGACTTCACTTCTGCTTCCCTGTACTACACAACTGTTTATTTATTTTTAATAGAATTTTCGTTAATTGTATTACATATAAATGCATTTTCATAAAGAGGACGACCGAGTATTTAGCAAAGAATTTTTCGTAGGAAAAACCCTGTTATAGCCTCTATTTCTCTAATGTCCCTTATCAAATTGCCACAGTTCTATGAAACTAAATCAAGGGTTCTCAACCTTTTAACAACAGGAAATATATTCACTCTTTTTTACCGTCTGACTGTAAATGACAACAATTAATTGAAACTTAGTGGCAATTTATTAAAAATGCTACTCGCTTACTATCGCAAACGTATTCAGATATTCCGATTACCCTTTTATTCCCTGAAACACATGTTATTTATCTGTATTAACTATTCACATAAAAATATATATGTAACTTATTCGGTACCTATTGCTTCAGCGTAGAGCATATTAACAGTAATACAAAAATTAATTCAGGCCGCAGGTTGCTAAATGCTGGTCCAAATGAAAGAGGCGTCTTTAAGAGGTTGAGAGACCAAGGGAGAAGAATACGAATTCATAGTTTGAAGCTACAGTTAATACTCACCTTCATGTCCGTTCTGTCTGCGTATTCACTGTCTTACATGGAAACACGCGCTTTAAAATATACCTGCTCGACCTCCAGTGTCGTTTTTATTCAAGGTCCAAAATTCCCCCCCCTCATAAGCACTCCTCGCGGACCTCCTTCAGTTGCCCCTCCTACAATTGCAGTAATGTAGGAAGTAACCTATAACTGTTGCTTCCAACCTCGAGAATTATACTTTCGTAGATTCCATATATGATGACCGAAATGCACATTTTTTCTGTGGGGAATTTACTCTTTTATAGCCGCTTTCTTGTACATATTTCCATTTTTCAATTAACTTAAATTTTTATATCAAATTACCAAGGCGTAGGTGTAAGGATGATATCAATACAGATCTTAGAAAAACAGGGTTTGGGGTCTTGAATTTGTATGCTTTAGGATAGGGACAGATTAGGGACTCTTCTGAAGATAGTCATGAATATTTTGGTTTAGTAAAATTCAGGGAATTTCGTGGGTAGCTGAGGGCACTATTTATTAGCGTCTCAAGAATTACTCTGTTCTTTGGAGTTAGTTGAATACTAATTTACACTGTGTTTCTTGTTACATTGATTACTGCAAATACTTGACTAACCCATTCATTTATTTGTTTAAATCCATTATTTCGATGTTATATTAGTAAAGGGTTGTTAAGGTACAATTCTTATGATTACAAGTTGAGAATCCAATAAAGTTTTCTTGGACGATCAGTCGTGTGAGAGTGGAATTAATATCCAACGTTTCGAAAACTGTCTCCATCGTCAGGGTTGATGCATTATTGCTCTAAGTCACCGTAAAAACTTCAAATTTTATATAAGGATATAAACTGCGGAAATAGATTTCTGAGGTCAATATCAGAATTGACACTTTGAGGTTCTTGTAAATTTCGACTTTTAAATCGATAAGAATAAAAATTGAATTCTTCCAACATTTTTTATACACTTCCATTATAAAATTTTACCTAAATCTGTTCAATAGTTTTCGATATGAATCATGTGGACACACAGACAGATGGACGGACAGAACTCGTGTACACTCATTCAATTCATTTTATGCAAGGAACACATGAGACGTGCGCACGTGTTTGTGACAGTGAATCATGATTAAAATACACTACGCAAGAGTTCTTATTCCTCAGCAAATATGTGCAGCCGAACATGTATCGCGTATTGTTATCAGTTTTGCAGCTTTACTCACTAGGAAGAGCATGCGACATCGAAGGCCATAAATACTGACCTTGACATTGTATTGACCACAACTTACTTCATGATTGCTGCAGCTGCAGAAGTAATGAAACGTTACTTCTGAACGTATGTTCTTAGTCGTTCCTTCTTCTGTCACAAATTTGAGCCTTCTCCGCGTACATTGTGACTGTAAATTTAATAAAGCTGAAGATTCAGAACCTTGAAGCTCCCGAATACCAAGCTTTAGTGATAACTATTTGACCGCGACTTTTGATAAACCTAGGCAATAAAATTAATTAAGTTTTATACCCAAAGAAATCAAGTAATGTACACGCACAATTACTGCCGACAATAATGTATAATGATTTTTCTCGTTTGTCTGTGTTATAAACAATATTATTATAGATTTGGAAACATGTTATAACTCAACTTCGAAGAGACTTTATGGCATTAAAATATCCGAATGTATTGGAACAAGATAACAATAAAAATTCACAATCAAATATCATTGTCAGTAAATATAATTTATTATTCATATATCATATTTTAAAAATAAATAATTATGTGAATTACACACTGTATTGATTTCGATGTTTATTTTATGATCACACTGGATTGCATTGTAACTCAGAAAAGATTAAATCTGTCAAATATGTACGAAGTAGGTAACAGGAAATATTGTTTAGATTAGTTTTATGTGAAGAATTTGTCCCAATGAACTTGAATTTTACTAGGACCCTCGTTTATGGGAAGCTGATAGTCGCTGAGATGGCCAAAAGCTCTTCTTCTTCTTTTGTAATCAATCCTAGGATTGGTTGGCAGCAGCTCTCATCTCCTGAGCTGCTGTTACTTGGGATATCCTAAGGATCTTTAATGCGGTGGATTCCCCTTGCCTTCCGCATCCTATGCAGTTGACCCATCCGGGTTCATCCGCCTTTAGGGGTGATTTCTCACCCCAAGGGCATGAGGGTGCCCTGAACCTCCACCCGCTCATCCACCCTCCGAAGAGGCTGTTGGCACTTGGTAGAGGGGGACCACTTATACCGGTGGTCACCAGGTCTGTGGACGCAGTTTAACGTCATGCCCGGGATAGCTACACCTTTTATGTAACCAAAATGCTCATCACAGTCTTAACAAAAACTGCAAGTAAAAAAATCTTGTGAATATTTCATACGACTTGAGTAAACCATGTTTGGAATATTGGAATAATATAGGCATACTATTTTAAATAATGGTTTCTTATTGTTTGCAATATTACGTACATAGCATGTTGAAACTTATGTAAATTTAAATTATTGTAGGGATTCCAGTATATGTGTAAACAATTTAGTAAGTAAATGATGTAACTTCTCAGAAATCTCGAAATTTCATAGTGTAATATTTTTATGAGTAAGAATTTTTTTCAATCAGCAACTTTGTATAGCCCAGAAAATAATTTTTCAGATAAATAAAATATATATTTTACAAATTTTTAAAACTAAGAGTATTTCAAATGTGCAAAGATGGGGATGTGTGACCGTTTTGACAGTTACGGTCTTTTATCTGCCCTGAATGAAGTGGAAATAAATTCCATTGGCCATGTTTTTTAAATGCATTAATAATCTGAAGGAAATTAAATTTTGTTTCTGTGTAGTGAGCATATAATTTCTAAAAGTGTGTAAAAGCACAAACCACAGAAATCTTGGGATTTAGAATTAATCGAGTGATAAGCAGTATCAAATATAGAGAATCCAATCGAACCTAAACAAATGAAATCAGCCATATTGTTATACGGATTTACTGAAACTTCATATTTATAGTTATCCGGTGTGTAGATAGTTGTTTTCTTGTTCATAACAAAGAAAAAGGTCTTGGAAGAAGGTCCGTTTATGTGGTTAAACTATAGTATATAATACAGTTCTATGTTACTATATATGTGACATTATTTCGATGACACTGAGATCAGATTATTGTTCCTGGTCTGTAGATTTATACTTATTATTATCCTGATATGAAATCTGCGAGTTAAAACACCGTAGGCCTGCTTAATGTAAAGGAATGTTATGTTTTTATTCTGTTGCATATACAGTAGTTATCGATAAACATTAAGAGTTCCTGTAGCTTTACATTTACCAAGTACTTTTGTATTGTACGAGTATAACATGAATATTCTTGTTTTGAGTAAGACGTAAAGAGGTCAGGAAGTGGGAAAATTCAGCAAGACAGTGGTCCCTTAGAATAATGATTTAGCTCTGTGATATTGTCGGTTCATTAAGTTTTTATGTCATAAAAGCAACAAGTCATCATTAAATCATACAGAGCCACTCCGAAACTTGTAAATTGTCATATGTAGTAATAATCAGTCAAGTATGTTCACGATATATTATGTATTTTAAATGCTGATTACTTGTTAAAATAGTCTTGGATTTTTTGTTAGTGCCGAAACGTAATAGTCTATATGTTACTTAAATACCTCTTGTGTGTTAATTTGTCATATTTAATTCATATACTTAATCTGTAGTGTAGCAACATTACTGCTAAATCCTCCCACAATATACATTTTTGTTTAAATTATTTTGTAGCGACTTATAACCAGGTCCATGAGAAACTCCGTCAACATATTTATCAGGCAATAAGCGTGAGTCCCAGAGATCTAAACAAGAATGTGTTTATATTATTAATAATAATCGTACCGTTTCCAGTATTCATTAAATGTATTCAATAACAAATAAATAATAACAATAATTGTGTAATTTAGTTATTCATAATTTAAATACTACTGCAATATTTTGATTTAACAACTACGTGAACATTATTTGTATAAAATATAACTTTCATTAACTTTCCCTGTAACAGAAATTGCGTATTTTCTTTTTCTTCTTCTGCTTTAAGGATACCGGCCATTGTCTTGTTTCCAACTTCAAGAGAAGATATTTTAGTATCCGAATTACGTCTTTTAAAGTTGTAAAATAATTTGATAAATTATTAATTAATGTCTGAGTTTTTCATTTTAATATAAAATAGAAATTGAGATGTTTGCTTTCGTAAATCGTTTAAATAATTTTAATTATTAAAATTCCGAAAGGTGCTTTCGGCACTAAGATAACATGGAAATCGCCGTATAAGTCAGTGTTTATAAATTTCAAGTTGATTCAGATTTTGAACTATTTATATAAAGTACATATTTTATAAAATGTATTCATTATTTTAGATGAACCGAATTTCTTTGTTAATTATACCCTGCAGAAGGCCTTAATATCGTCGAATTCGAGAATTAAAGGAGACAGTACAGGCGACATCATTCAACAGTTAAGCTTCCAGGGACTCAGGTCGAGGTGTTAGTGAAGCCAGAGGTATTAGTAATATGGCGTCAGTGGGGAGAAGGGACCGCTGGGACGGAATTCCATTTGCGGACACAAGCTGTTATCCATCACCTCCCACTCGTCGTGTCTGCAATCACACAAAGAGACACGCATCCTTGTTATGTGGAAATAATAAAATGTGTTAGCAACATCGAGAAATGCATGTTATTGTTATTATTATTATTATTATTATTATTATTGTTATTATTATTATCGTTTGCAATCCTTGATGGACCTTGGCCTCTTTACACGTGGGAGGTGTCTAAATTTTTGAAGACATTTAGTAGTTCTCCTTGGTCGAGTGATCTGACCGTCACAAGGCGAAAAAAAGTTATAGCCAGTTCTAAATCTCAGGTTTGTACGTGAATAAGTTTACTAAACGCAGCCACTAATTTTATCCTGCATTCATTTTAATATCTCATTCGTTCGAGCAAGCATAATTTTAAAATGTGAAGTAAAGATCTATCTCTAATGTAAATTTTAATTTCACAGCGAAATTATTTTCTTTCCTTTGTTTTTCGACCTGTCGTCGGCTCCGACGAGGCGGCATTTAGCACTCCATCCTCGGTTATAGGCGCATTAAAAGATCCATCTGCCCTGATTGATGAATAATGCCGTCTGCCAACAGATGACATCACAGTGGCTGACACTGAAATTCCTATGTCAGAGCGATGTTTGTAACAAAATTGACGGCAAGGTACTGGGTACTGGATATAAGTGGACACGGTGAGAATCATGTGGTGCCGACAGCATATCGAAGCAGGTTGTGCCAGATTCCAGACAAGAGACCGAAAATGCCCCGAGCGTCCGTTTGTCGAGGGCTCTCACTGGGAACAGTATAAGGCGCTACAGACCGAAACCTCGTACTGCAACCGCTAAAAAACAGAACAGTCCTGATACAGTTCATTTCCACAAGGTTGTATTTGAGTCACGTTTATACAGTAAAATTAGAGAAAAGAGATCTTTGGCGTTGTACGGGGAGATGAAATCAGGGTGGGGTAGACAGGGTTACTCTGGTTGTTGTACGAGGGTGGAGAGGGAGGGATGGGCATGGTTCAGAGCGGGTATTTGGAAGCTGAGAGGGATGAGGGGGAGCATGGATGGAAAAATATGCCCTTTATGTGGGGCGACAGAAAGCGAGATTCACATACTATTAAAGTGTACGGAATTTCTGTACAAAGTAAGATGTAAAAGACAGGTCAAAATTAGGAATTTAGAACTGCTACTGGGGTAGAAGGCACGAGAACAATACGAAAGAGTTATGTAAATAGTATTAGGGATTAAGGAATAGTCATGAAGAGTAGCATTAGTGAATAGTTGTAGTAAGCAGTAGTGCTAATAGTGCTACGTATGTAAGGACTGTGGCCGTAAAAACCTGGTGTTAGGCGGCCACAAATCTCTGTATATAGTTCTAAACCAAAATATCGTTCAAGTGTATAATATCAACAAATATTTGGGAAAGTTAGAACTAATCAAATTACATTTAGGGTGAACTTAGGAGTATATTAAAGTTAAAGAATGCGTGCTATCATTTACTTCAAAATCCTTTGTATTCCCTTCTCCCACATTAAAGTGAACAAAACTATACTTTTATCTGTTGGTTTGTATGGCTGTAAAGAACATATATTAAGGGAGTTTAGGTACAGGTGATGAGGATAATTTTTTGGCCTAGTAGATTCAGTTAAAAGTTTAATGGAAACATATAAACATCCGAGTATACAGGTGACTAGCCTACAGGAAGCAGTTATTTGAAATCGATTCTTTGTTTCCCTATCACTCTTACCTCTCCTTTTGAATAAGTGCCATATAACTACATTTTAATGTAGTTGTTAGTAACGCGGTGTTGGCTTGTAGGCAGGTACCAAAGCTTCAGAGGAACATTGCCTCCATCCTTATCCCTGAGGATATAACAGTATGTTTCTCCAAAATGTTGGTATCTACCTGCAGGTCCACACGGCGGTAGAACCCAGAAGACCGACATCGTTATCTTCACCTCTCTGAGAATCCCAAATGGCATACATTTGTATATAAAGCACGATCCCAAAGAAAGCACTTTTGGTCCATATGAGTCATGACTCATACGCTGAGATACATTGGCTGGAAAACTTCAACTGCAACAGTTCTTGTGTTTTGGTTTTTACGTGTCAAAACTAGGCGCATGAGTTATTTCTTATCTGACATGCTTGGTTGATCCTTTTATCTGCTGGGTAGTACGTTTCGAAAACATGTATCTTCCCCGCAACAATAATATGTGGTTTTTCTTCATATCACGAAATAGTACTTCTACTCACAACATTTAAACTACCGAAGTACACTTGTCCTCGTGCCAGACAATTTCTAATATTAACATGTGGCCACATTTCCTGAATCAACGTTAAGCCGGTGTTACTTTTCTCGACAAGTTAGTACACAAGTCCATTGTGAAGAAGTTGTGTACGCAAAGTCAGCTTTTACAGGCTTCAACTCATGTATATTTGATATTCTTGTTCGTGAGTGGTCTTACGTTGGTTATATTATTTAACTGTTTGGCGTACTTCTTTATTTAAATCGTAACTGCAAACATGAACTGTCTCTGGAAAGTCGTCTTATCGGTAGGCTATTTAGAACGAATTACGTAGTATGCAAACAGGCTAAACATTATTGCATATACTTTAAGTGAGAGTTTTCTTTAAGATGTTGAATTACTCGTAATATGGAGTAAATACAGTAGGATCAGGATAAACCTATTGTTCGGAAAGTTGCGTATCAATTCTTCACAGCCTTCTTAAGCACATCGCTGTGGTACAGTTCCTTTATAAGGTGTTAAACGAAGTGCGAGAAGGGAATTATAACATCTCGAGGTAAAAGAGTTTTCACAAATTATGTTCTGAAGATTGAATCACGGTCCTGTAACAATGAAATGTGCGCCTGTTGTTCAGGAAATGCCTTTAACCTATTATCAAGCGGATTCTTCATTGTTACTGAGCTGATCAAGAAATCCCCCTATCCTGAGCCAATTGAATATAGTCCACATATTGACATTTTGCGTCTGCAAACTCCATTTTTATATTGTCTTTCTGTCTGCTCCTTGGTATTCTACGTGTGTCTCTTCCATTCAGTTTGACGTACTGCATTCCTTCTCTGTCCCACACACGATACATGCACCTCCATCATCTTGGTAATATTCGATGAAGAGCAGTGTAGGCTTATAAATTATAAAGCGTTTCCTTATGAAACTTTTTCCAATCCAAACCTTTAATTTACAACATTAATTTTATTACGTATTTGGCCCACTCATTTACATCTGGGCTTCTCTATTCGTGTCTCCTAATTACACTTTTCAAATGAAATTGTGTTTGTATTTCTCATCTAATCTATGCATGCTAAATGTTTTACTCATCAATAACATCAATGAAAGTATAGTTTCTGACGTGTGTGTGGTTTGTTTAATATGGAGACAGTTATAAATAAACTCCTGTGTCCATTAGACTAAATTTTTTTTGGCAGTGCTGAGCGTATGGGCTATAGAATTTATATTCTTCGATTTCCGTTTGCATTTCCTCTGAGTCAGATAATACGATAAAAATAGAGAACTTACTCAGTTGACTGTGGGCAAGGTCGGCTTTCAGTGAAACAAGTGACTTGGGCAACATTGAAGAACAAGGCGCCCAGGGTGTTGGCAGTGTCGGTGTTGAGAGACTGAAGACACCTCCTGAACTTTGCATCACAGTCACAATGCGACCTGCCGGAACAAAGCACAAGATTGTAGTTGGCGGGATATCTGAACAACCAGAGAGTGGAATGGGACAACTGGCAGCTGTAAAGGCGTGTTTATTTTTCTCTTGATTTCGCTCCGTTACAATGTTAAGATTTAATTTCGAAAGTTAATGCAAAAACTCGTCTAATAAAACTATTTTAAATGCGTTATTTTTTTAAAGAATTTCGTAAAAATAAATCGCATTCGAATGAGTGTGCCTGTCCGCCCACTTGTTTTCATCTCCGAAAATGCTAAGTATATTATGATTATGTTTGATATTTTGAAGAACGCTTCTAAGCTGGAAGTTGAATGATTTTGTTTCGTGTTGTTTCAGTATGAAGATCAACTCGAATTTTACAAATATAGAAACGGTTTATCGCACAGAATATCTCATTGACATCTGAAACTTTTATTTCAACTAAGTTTTGACATAGTGAATATTTAACGAAGTAGAAAAAAATATTTTATTACCGCAAGCTATGTGGTATGTGCAGTGTGGTTAGACCTGCAACAGTAAGCTTGAATATGTAATAAATGGACATAAGGCCAACGACGTACGCGAAGGCTAAATGAGATATGCAAAATCAGAAAGAACACATTTATAAAGTGCATATGCCAGGCACTTCCCTTCAATGTTTACTCCGTATTAGGCGCAAAGAGAGGTTTAACTTTTGCCTATGAGTTTCTGCATTCATTTTACAGTTTCAGTTTGAGGAATTAATATTATATTAAAATTAGAAGAAAGGGATAAGTAGATGTGCATGTAGGACACCCAAGCTTATGAATGTGTTACGACATCAGGCCCCGAAATTCTATCCAGAGGGCCTCCACACTTTGTGCTTTATTTAGTACCGCGTGTTAGTTTCATATCTGAGAGCTATATAGCAGTTTGCGTGTGATTGCGTGACGTACCAAGAACGTTCCGTGCCACGTAAGTGACGTGCTGTCAGCCTGTCACGTGCTGTTTGTGTCGAAGGATAGTTAAACTAACGTCAATACTTCAGTTGACTTACTGCATCCCCTGTGCAAGAACTTGTGTCTTTTGGTGACTTTGATATGTATGCCTCTCTGTTATCTCAGTCGCTGACGTCCCATATAATTTTGCAGCTTAAATATTATTGGTTGTAATTCGCGGACAGCTGGCAAGGGGTGTCATGCAAGTTGAAGGCTGAGAGGAATGCTAACAACTCCTAGCGTGACAGTCTGTCGTTGCGTAGGCCTAATATTACACAGCATAATGGCTTTTGTGAACACGATAATGAACTTTCGGGTTGTATACAATACGGACATTTCCTTGTTCATCGTTCTCCGTATTATGGTGAGAAAGATCGCCTATTCTACGGGAATAGTTAGATAAATTTGACAATATACAGCCGGAACCAGTCTCCGAAACGTCGAAATCCATTTTAATCCAGACAGTTGACAAAATTCAAGGATAATTCTTCCATAATAATACTTTCCTATTGTCGCCGAGTTAGGGATTTTCCTTTTTTATCATTTAGCAAAATGTTTATATGCTTCGCGAATATCACTAGAGCAAATGCTATGTTCCATCCACGTTGCAGCTAGGAGCAGCCTTCTGAGTGGATGATCTTGTCAGCGCTGGCGCACGCACCGAGAGACCAAAGTGTCCGTGACTGTCCATTGTAATACTACAGACCTGGTGAAGGGTGAGTTGTTGCAGAGGCCGTAGAGACACTGCCCGGGCTCCAGTTGGTCCGGACAGTGGTCATGCTCTCTACAGCACTTGTCCTCTTCAGCATACGTCCCCAGGTCCTCATAGTCCAGTGCCACGTTCCCCGGACCACACCATTTCGTATCTGCAATGAAACGAAAGCCAGACGCACTTGTAGCGGCGTCGAATTAAGGCTAGAATTATCAATCTTGTTTCACGCTGTGAACTATGTTCTCATAAAAGAGACTGCAGCTACCGAGTGATAAAGGAATAATTTTTACAGCTAGTGTGAAGTACTTGACAAATCCAGCATTTAAATTTATTCCTTCAAGTTTACTTTTCATATCTTGGTGTCATTTGTTTAAATATGTTGCTACTCAGGAATAATTGCGGTAGTTGTGCCAACTTAAAACCTGTTAACTGTATAATTAATAATACCAACATCAAAACAACACGTCGATTTTTTTCTGGGGGTTAAAAATATAGATCGTGACTTGTGAGATCCTTAGACCTAAGCAGCCAGTTCAAAGTTCGGGGGTTGCAGAACATGAGAAAACTTAGTAGGATTTACAGATATATCCTTAATTTTGATAAGAATGGAAAGATATTTGTGTTAAGAGTTATAAATACTATAGTACGTACTTACCGGGGTATATGAAACCCCCCTGACCCTGACGATGCGAGACTTTTCCTTTGCGACATGACTTGGCGACGGCGATCAGGTCTGAAGGTTTCACCTCACGCACCAGAGTAGGATCGGACTCCAGTATCATTCTCCTTATTGTAGATCTATTGAGAGAGCAATTTCGAACGTGATAATCAACCTTCAGGTTCGGTTAAAGGCAGGGATTCCTTGAATGACTGATCGACTATCAGCGTCTAAAATACTCTTCTCCATTAAGTCACTGACAAGTTTTTATCAACGCTGGCTTTGCTGTCAATAACGTCTTCTGTCGCCTGCTAGACATGTACAAAATCTAATCAAATGTGAAATTTTGCGTCCAGAAAGTGTTTTAGAGGACTCTCTCGTGGCATTGCCAAGGTTACCTGTCATTGTACACTACGCATGTGGGTCCTGGACCCGAGATGGCTACCAGGCGGGTCATTGCAGGGTCCGTCATGAGAACTACACACCGAACGGCCCCCGTCATGAGCAGCAGTCCGAACGCCGACACCAATAATGCCAAGTTCTGCAATCATAAACAATCTTCAGTTTACGGGCAATATACGGATTTTTTGTTTGTCCTTGTGAACTTAACAAATTTGAGTGTAGAAAAGCCAGAGGTAAGGTTAGTGGGACACACTTAACAGTACCTCAGAGAACAGTTCATGTTGCTACATCATATATTCTAATATTTGAAGCTTTCGTGGCGACTAAACACAATACATTTTTCTTCGGGGTTCTGATGACGGAGATGGTTCCCGAAACGTTGGCCTCTTCGTGTAGCCAATTGACGTGGCTGATTGCCGAAGAATATTTTATTGACTATGTGTTCTGTTCTAAAGAAATTTATTGACGGTTGCTCTGACGGGAATTCTCAGGTTTATCTGAAATTCGAGTAGTTCATTTCAAGTATTTTATGAACGTAGAGCAATGGTATATGGCTGTAAACCAGGGATTTTTGACATTCACCAAATTTGAGACCACATTCAACTTTGTTATCGAGTTGCGGGCCGCAAGGACACTTTATCGAAATACCACTGTAATTTGTTTTACGTCAACGCAAACCGGTTCACATATTGCGCAACCGTTTTCTTTGATAAAGTCAGTGGTTAGTGAGAAACCTAAACTGCTTTTGTTCTACTAATATTTCAGTATGAGGTTCAATTTGTCTTATTAACGTACGTCCCTCTATGTGTCCATTGTCTTGATTTTACGTCATTAATTTGATGACAGTTACTTATAGGAATAGGCATTCCAAATACTGATATTAAAATAATATATTTTCTTGCATCACATGTGCATCAAAAAGTGACATAGTAGGATAAAGAATGTATGCGGACCGCGGTTTGAGAACCTATGTTGTACACATTAACCGTTTATAGTGTAGCAAACAACATTATAGTTATTCATTGTTTCTTCAATTGTTTTGATGCGACAGCAATGCAAACTACATGCAGTGTGTACATGCTCTTACTCACGAGTTTCAGTTAGAGTAGCTAATTAGGGCTGACCATCAGTTTTGCGGGCCACTAGTTTATAACTAAAGGCGTAGGCGGTATGCTGCCACCTCATCGGATAGACTATTGATCTTGACCGTCCGAAGAAAATATTCATTTCGGGTACGAATATAATTCACCTTAGCCATTAAACGCGTGCTTTGGTTTGAAGTAAGGTCTTGAAAGATGACCTTGGCACAAAACGTGCCTTCCGGAGAAGGTAGACGATCGAGTATTTGTTATTCAAGTCGTTACGATAAGTTCGATAGAGTGGACGGCATAGTCTGTTGACGAACAGAAAGTATCAACGCAAGGTTGTTTGACTGCTTTCACGGCATGAGTCAAGTGTCAAGACTGAACTCTTGAGTGTGGGTGTGCAGAAGACTGCGTTCTATCAGTTTAACTTAGCTGTCTAATATAAAAATTTGGCGGGAGGAAACCTACCCTTTACCCCCAACAGAATGTAACAGACAAACCACACCTAGCTCTTAAGTGCGTAGGATCTGAGGTTCTCACTGTGGCGTGTATGAAGTACGTAATCGTCCAACTAACACTCTGTTCTAAAACCATCTATACTAAAGTCATCTATTTAATTAGATCCTGAGACAGTTATATCAGTTTCTCATCCTCACAGTCAGGCCTGTTTCTTCAGCGTCAATTTCAGTGTTGTTACACCAACACTAAGTTTTCCACTTGTAGCACCCATTGACATTTCTTTGTTTATATCCACTTATGGATAACGTGGACTAATTAAAATAGCATAAATGCTGGCTGTTGGAATTCTCAGATGATCCGCATTATTACGTAAAATCAAATTAACCTATCACGAAAGATGATTAGACATGTGAAATTTTTGAGAGCAGAACACCGAAGTCTAACAAACTGTGGTCCATCCACTGTTGCAGCGTGAACGGTATACATTTCCACATACGTTATACCAGCGCCTGTGTTGGCGTCAATTTTAAATAAGGGACGTATTGTGTAATGTGTATTGTCTTATATCACTGAAGCGCAGATATAGAATGATCCTTTGTTTATGGAAAGGACATATCCTGGATGGCGCTCGGGTTCGGTAAATCTGATTGGTAAGATCAGCAGTCTTCCTTCAGATACTGATACTCAGTTCTCAGTTGGACAAAAACATTTCTTGTTTGCATAGAACCGAAAGGTAGCAATAACCCATAATAGTATCTTGTCTTGAGTCACCTTAATTAAGATACTATCTTAACCATCTGTTTCTCTCCGATACATTTTAATATTATTGAATCATCTGTGCCTAGTTCTTCTAACTGGTCGCTTTCGTTTAGAGTTTTTCAAACAAAATAAAGCATTCCTTTTGTGTTTACATTATCTATTCTACATGTCAAGCTTATGTCATCCTTATTGATTTAATCATGTCAGTTGACTCTTCAAATTAAGAATTGGTGTATTATGGTATCTGAGCAAACTTACTAGTATTGGTTTCAGATTAATATATTGATTTTAGATATGAGTGTTGAAAAATAGGCCCTGCAGAAAAATCCCAGAGGGTTATGTAAATTTATTGGGGTGGCAATGGCCCTGCATTTCAATTAGTTTATTATTAACATCATCATCATCATCATCAGTACCTTCATTGTCATTACACCTAACACCATGACACTTCAGATAGCGTATTCCCAACTTCTGTGTTTCAGACTACAAGTGCATGTTATTGGTGTTTCTAAAGTAATTTATCCTTCTGAAGAACAGAACGTCTTTTAATTTCATAAGACTTGCGAATGTCTTTTCTATTTACTATGGCTCCTAATTACACTGGAGTTTCCCCTTAGACAGTCATCAGTAGGACTGCCGCCTGACGCGCAAGCACGAACAGTTGCCTGACATGCAGGCGAACGTGTCTGCGTCTTTAATTACTCTACAGCCGTGCCAGAAGAAGGAAAATTAATTTACAGGGAACATTGGCTAGAATTTCAAAGGAGCGTATTTTAATTAACAAAGCTACATGAGGCTTCGGTATTATTCGTGAAAGTAATGACCACTTTAGCATGCGTCCTCCGTAATTACATATTCTAGTTTTACGCCAGTTTGTTTGGGTGGGAAACAACATTTAGAAAAATTCACTAGGATGTGTCGTGAGTTTGTGTTCTTATAGTTGTTATCATTGTTACATTTCTTAGTGATTTCCTGTCAGGTCTTTGCTGCTGACAAACACTTGAATAAATAAACTAAGTTATCATCATCAACATCATCATAACACACTGGGATTTCTCAGTCAGTAGTAGTGACTAGGCTACGGAACGGATTACCAGAATTCCTTCAGAAGCTGATAATACACAAATTTGGCTAACAAATTTGCTGCCTTTTATGGAACCGGATTGTTAAGTGCTGTGTATACAAGATCCCGCCACGCGTTCCTATATTGAAGCAGATGAATTCAGTCCAAATTCCCACACACTGCTCTCTAAATCCACTTTAATATTTGTCCTTTTATCTAAATCTAGGTATTCTAATTGGCCTCTTCCCTGCGGGCTTTCATACGAACATTTTGTATGCATTTATTTTATCTCACCCATGTGCTGTATGCTTCTTCCATCTCATCCTCGTTTTATTTGTTCTGTTGCAGAGTACAAATTATTTAGCTCCTTATTATGCAGTTTTGTTTATCCTCCCGTCACTTCATCCCTCGTAGATCTTCAGTGCCTTTTTCTCAAGCACTGTTTACATGTATTTCGCTT